CAGGAAGGCCTGGTTGGCCAAACAAAAGGCAGTGGAGATCATCTACGACAATTGGGAGGATTCGTATAAGAAGTTGCCTTGTTTGTTACAAGCCATGCAACAATTTGTTCCCGAATTCATCTACAAACTGCAGTCACAACCAACTTACCAAGGTGAAGTCCTTCAACAAAATTCAAATATTTTTAAACGTGTGTTTTGGTCGTTTAGGTCATGCATAGATGAATTTGTTCACTGCAAGCTCATTGTTCAAGTGGACGGAACTTTTTTGTATGGAAAATATTGAGGTACCTTGTTGGTTGCAGTAGCACAAGATGGTCGCAACAACATCCTCCCCATTGCGTTTGCAGTGGTTGAAGGTGAAACAAGTGATGCCTGGTTTTTTTTCTTAAAAAACCTTCAAAGATATGTCATACCCCAGCAAAGATTATGCCTCATATCAGACCGACATGAATCCATTAGAAGTGCATACATGAGAAATGGAAGCGGATGGATAGAAAATAATTCAATGCATGTCTACTGCATTAGACACATTGCACAAAATTTTATGAGACGTTTCAAAAACACCGCACTGAGGAAAGATGTTGTAAATATGGGTAATTCTTTTGCTTCAAATTTGTTACAATTTATTCATTATTTAATTGTTGCTAATAAATATTTATATTAACTATGTTTTTTTAATATTGTTGTAGCGTATGGGATGACTGAACCACGATTCTACTATTATTACAACATCTTGAGGCAATGTGACATAAAAGCAGCTAATTGGTTGGATGAGATACCTAGAGAAAAATGGGCACTTGCATGGGACAATGGACGACGTTGGGGCCACATGACGACCAACATAGCAGAGTCTATCAACTCTGTTTTGAAAAAAACAAGAAATCTACCTATTTGCTCCATGGTCAACGCAACGTACACCCGCTGCAACAAATTTTTCATTGAAAGAGGGAGGCAGATAGATGCCATGATCAATGCTGGTCATGTATACTCTAAAATTTTGGTCACAAATTTAGAAGAAGCACAAACACAGGCAAACACGCATAGGGTCATAACTTTTGACAGGTCTACCACAAAATTTGTAGTAGAAGAAACACAAAACCCGCGTGAAATTCGACCAGCAGGGAAGTTTGCAGTTCACCTTGATGAGTTATGGTGTGACTGTGGGAAATTCCAAAAATTTCACATGCTTTGTTCACATGTTCTTGCTACGTGCAAGCATGCACACCATGACTTCAACAACTATATTTATTCAATGTAGACCTTACAACAAGTTTCAAAGGTATACGGAACACAATTTGGGTTATTGCGAAATGAAAAATATTGGCCAACATACACAGGACCTACTTTGTGTGCAAATCCAGAAATGAAAAGAACTTCAAAGGGCCGACCAAAATCAAGTCGTATAAGAACTGAGATGGACATTACAGAAAATCAAAGTATGATTAAAAAATGTTCATATTGTCATACCCCTGGTCATAGCAGAAGAACATGTCCCAATGTTGCACGTGCATCTACTTCGCATCATTAGATTGTGTTAGTTAAGAAATGTCTCAATGTATGAAACTTAGGAGTTTTTCAATTAATTGAAAGTGATGAAGATCTTATTGAATCATTTGATAAAACAAACATTTTGTGGGTTTGATGAAGTCAAAGGTTATTTAAGGAACTTTTTGCTAACTGTTTTAATCGATTAAAACTGTTTTAAGGAACTCAGCATTGGATTCTTTACTTGTGTGCATCAGAAAGACATGGGAATCCTGACTTGGGTGGGTGACTCAGCATTGTAAATAGTTGCAGGTTTCCTCGCTCAAGCGATGAGTTTCTCGCTTGAGCGAGAATTGTCCCGAGATTTTAGATAGCGGTTCTAGAACTAACCGCTATTAAAAATATATTTTAGATAGCGGTTCTAGAACTAACCGCTATTAAAAGTATATTTTAGATAGTGGTTCTAGAACTAACCGCTATTAAAAGTATATTTTAGATAGTGATTCTAGAACTAACCGCTATTAAAAGTATATTTTTAACCGCTATTATAGAACATGTGGAATCGCTATTATTTTAAAATTATGATCGATTAGTTCAAATTATAATCGATTATAAATTTCTTCGCTCAAGCGATGGATGTCTGGCTTGAGCGAGAATTGACCACGGTCCAACGCAGTTACCCAATCAATTCTCGCTCGAGCAAAGTAACTCATCGCTTGAGCGAGAATTGACCACCGCTAAACGTCCAATGCAGTTAGCCACATAACGCAACTTGGATCACCACATATTTTAATCACTTTTCGCTCAAGCGAAAATACCCGTCGCTTGAGCGAGGATTGACCGGAAATTACCCCTTCGTTACACATTTCCTCGCTCAAGCGAAGGGTTTCTTCGCTTGAGCGAGAATTGACCCGAGATTACCCCTTTGTTACAGATTTCCTCGCTCAAGCGAAGGTTTTCTTCGCTTGAGCGAGAGTTCATTACGCGAAATAATCGATCATAATATAAAATAATCAATTATTTTAATACGTAAACGAGTAAAGAGTGCTAGTTGTGTAAATAATGTTCCAGATGTGCTATTTTGGAAAATATTTTTAAAAATAGTGTTATTTATAAAAAAAAAAGTCTCATTTTGTTGATAGCTTTAGATCTCATTTAGTATTGGTGGTCATATCTTAAACTAATATAGAAATGGATTACTCTTAGAAATGTGTATGCTCTCATTTATATTCTTAATACTTACGATCTTCTGGTATATTTAAATTAATATTTAATATTTTATAATTTATATATCATACAAACTTTAATTATTTAATATTATTTTACTTTTTGAACTATATATGTAAAAGGAGTCGATATTTTATGATTTTATACAATAAAGATTGTACTGTAAAATTTTGTATGATTATATTTTATAATTTTATTATTTTTTTCAAACAAAAAAATTATATATAAATAATTTTTTATTTTTAATTAGTCAAAAAATGATTTGATAGTCTATTAACTTAATATAAAATTAGGCTAGGCCAAAAATTTTAATCTGTTTTAAAATATAAGTTTTTTACTTATATTGTCTCACCTAGAAATATTTAGTAATAGTATCAAAATTTATATTTTACTTTAATGATTAATTTAATCAAGTATAATGTCTTGAGTTGTTAGGTTTAATGTGCTATCATAATTTTTTATATAATTGAGTTATATATTTGTAAATATATATTTTCACTCAACAAATTATACCATTTCGACATTATCAATATAAATCCAATCTAATTAACAAAAGATTTTTAAATCTTATTAGTACTTATAATTTATTTTTTCTCTTTAAATATCAATCTTTAATATGTTTCTAAAATAATAAATAATTTTTTTAAATCTCATATCAATTAGAGATTTCATAATATTATTATATCTGTGTAATCCTAATTTTATTAAACTAGTTTTGTAATAGATATTTCATTATTTTTAAGATGACATTAGAATCAAGTTTAAAATTATTGAGACATTAATAATTAATATTGATTGCTTATCTTGAATACGAGGGAGTGTGTTAAAAAATCTTCTTCAAAATTAGGGAGTATGATAACCACCCGTTATCATACTCCTCACATTGAAACGAGAAAGTGTAATGAAAAATATTTTTTAATATAAAAGATATGATAATGTTACAGTACATAGGTAAATACAATCCACAGTTTATAGAGATATGATAATATTATAATATATATGTGAATATAATCTACACCTTACTGGATCGAGTGAAATATTTCATAATTTTTAAGAGTTTTAGATCGACACTAACATCTAATTATTGTCTTTTTAAAGAAATGTTAATAATAGAAAAAATTATATTACGTAGACTTTTGTTAAAAAAAATATAAGTTAACCCAAGTATTGATTTAAAAAAAATTCTAAAATATGATACAATGATACTTGATTATATTTATTCGGATATTTTAAAATTTATTTTAATATACAATATTTATAGTTTTGATGATGATAGTTGTAAATTTGTAAAAAAGTTATTAAATTTTATTTTTATTAATTTTAAATAAAAATTATAATTTTTTATATAATACATTTTATACTTGAAATCATTTAAAATCAAATTTTAGGTGACTTTTATAGATTTATTATTTTTATTAATGATTGCATAGTAATTTAATTATGTTTAATGAAATTAAATATGAAGTAATTTTATTATTTTAAAATTTTAATAAAATGAAAAGAATTTAATATAATTTTCAGAATCATGATAACCCGGACGAAGAATGTTAAAATTCTAAGTTTTAACAATATTTAGAAATTAATAAATTATTAATAAAATTATTTACACCATGACGGACTATTGAATAATTTGTTAGAAAAAACTTTTTTCATTAACTGAAGAAATGTATATAGAGTAACCTAATACTTAAGAAACACAATTAAAATAATTTTTGACATAATAATTTGAAAATTTTACAAAATAAATTCAAATAAAAAGATCTTTTAAAAGAAAATAGAAGGAAACAATATTGTAAAATTAACCACAATTCTTTTAAAATATAATTAACAAAAATTATATAAAATAAAATATTCTTAAAATTGTATAATTATAAAATATTTTAATTTTCTTATACGTTTGATTAACACCACGTAACTATTTGCACTTTATAGGCACAATATACATTTCTGATCATATTTCTAAATTTACATCACTCATTTTCTTCTCCTTTCTCTTTGCCTATCTCATCATTGTTGACAAATCCATTAGTGGAATGTTTATTAGGGTTTAAATTGCTGGATTTTTCTTACTTGAATAAGATTTAGGTTTTATTTCTGAGAGAGAGGGTTTTATTTTTTTTAAAGGCAGAGTGAAGGTGGTAATGGGAAATGTGGGGGAAGACTGTGGGCCGGGCCAAGCGAGCCCAGCCCAGGAATGTGATTAGAGCAAAGTGAAGCCTGACAAGTAGAGAATAAATTATCGAAAGCAGTTGGTGAAGTAACCACCATCGTGCAAGTGTTGGAGAGCGATGGAAGAAGAAGAAGAAGAAGAGCAAAAGCTTCTGCAGTCGTATCCTCGTTACTGGGGCTTCACACCAGAAGAAGAGTACTACAAGCAGCAAGGAATCAGAGGCACAAAATCTCATTTCACAACCGCGCGTGGCCTCACGCTCTTCACAAGGTCATGGCTTCCAAACCCCACCACCACCCCACGCGCGCTGGTTTTCATGGTCCACGGCTATGGCAACGACATCTCCTGGACCTTCCAAGGCACCCCCATCTTCCTCTCGCAATCCGGCTTCGCCTGCTTCGCCATCGACCTCCAAGGCCACGGCCACTCACAAGGCCTCAAAGCCTTCGTCCCCTCCGTAAACCTCGCCGCACACGATTGCCTCTCCTTCTTCAACTCCATCAAACAACAAAACCCCCAATTCCAACATCTCCCCTCTTTCCTCTTCGGAGAGTCCATGGGCGGCGCCATATGCCTCCTCATCCACTTCCTCTCTCCGGAACCCTTTCACGGCGCCGTTTTGGTCGCCCCCATGTGCAAAATATCCGACAGCGTCAGACCCAGATGGCCCATTCCCCAGATCCTCACCTTCCTCGCCAGATTCTTCCCCACTCTCCCCATCGTCCCCACCCCCGATCTCCTCTTCAAGTCCGTCAAGGTTCCCCGCAAGAAACTCATCGCCAACATGAACCCTTTGAGGTATCGCGGCAGGCCCAGGTTGGGCACCGTCGTTGAACTTTTAAGGGTCACAGACTTCATCAATCAGCGACTCTGTGATGTCAATCTCCCTTTCATTGTCTTGCATGGGAGTGCCGATGTTGTGACCGACCCTGATGTCAGTAGGGAGTTGTACCGCGAGGCCCGGAACCCCGATAAGACCATTAAGGTCTACGATGGGATGATGCATTCCTTGCTGTTCGGGGAAACCGATGATAATGTTGACATTGTCAGGAACGATGTTTTGTCGTGGCTGCTCGCTAGGTGTTGAATGGTGAAGGTTTCAAGGTTTGGTTTTGTCCATTGTTTTGTGTGAATGTGATGATGCATTTGGTGAATTTGTTCATACAACGACATGTTATTCTCTCGAACAAGACAAAATGATGTCTTTTTTGTATAGAATTCATTGCATAACAATGCCCAAGGTTTGGGAATGAAGGGGCATGGTCATGTTCTGTATTGTGTGTGGTTCTTGATAAATGAATGGTTCACTACAGATGTATAAATAAATCAATCTCTAGCACGTATATACCTTCATTTTATCTTTTATGTTTCTTTTGATCACATAATGTGGTTTATGTTTATATTTGTTTCATCTTTTTCTCTCCTTCATGGATCGAATTCCCTGCAGGACATTTCATTCAACAATTACTTATTATTTGGATTTATGTAACTTCAAATACGTATTCGAAATGTGATATGTCCATTTCTTCCAACAATTCTAATTTATGAATATGTGAATGCAAGAAATTTATTCCCTTCACCAAATGTTTAATGTAGGTGTGGTGTTCACTTGATCATTTTTGTATGGGGCAAATCATGAATAACGTAGTGGCTCTGATAGATAATTTATATTGCCAATAGTTTTTCTGAAAAAAAAAAAAATTTAAAGGTTAATGCCATGTTGACCAATCTGGAACAAGCTTTAAGATTTGATATTTAGTGAAGACTTTTTTTATTTAAAGGATGTAAAACTGTTTACTACAATAAGTAATCAATTTAGTTTAATATTTTAATAGATTATTAAATTGAATTTTTTACTTATATAGTATGATTATAATTATAATTCATTACGTGTTCATTTAATTATAATTTTAATTAATGAATTTTCAATTATTAATATAATTTTTCAGGAAAAATCAATTTTGAGGCTTATTTTTGTAGTAAATAATGAATTTTACCCCTATTAATTAATAGATTAATGCTATTTATGCAATAGGCATTATATTATTGATCTAAAATATTATTAATAAATATAATTACTTTTTAGATCATTAAAGCAGGTAATTGCAATGTGTTGCAGCTATGCAAAAAGAACGCGGAAGAAATTCAGATTTTTAAGTATTGTTAGGTTAATTTGGTTTGTTTGGGATTATAAATTTCTTATAATTAAGAGAGCTTTTGAAAGTAAAATTATTCTTCAAAAACTACTCAATACGAAAGTGCAAATTCCGCAAAAATAAATAAATACTGTGTGGGAAACCAAAAAAGGGAACTTTTTTTTTCTTTATTTGTTCATATTACACTAGTTTAGATTTGTGTAATTGTTTGACATTTATGATGTCGAATTAATTATACTTTTCTTGAATTATCCGAAACTCTAACCAGCAACAACTTATTCAGTATAATGGATCAAATTTAAATTCATGTGCCAATAATTTTTTTCTTTCATTCCAGTTCATTTGAAAAGAGATATGTTACAGATACACTTTGTAAGAAAATTATTAAAATTCACAATTTGATAAATACCACACTTATACCAAACTTGGATTGAAACTACCCACTCACGGGCACAAACAACCGTAACAATGATATCGATTTTAACTCAAGACATTGGACTTAAAAATGGAGTCATAAGTAAAGCAAAAAATTCTATATTATTTACAGTGAAAAGAACAATCCATAAATCTTTCTATGTTGGTATACATATATTCTGCTCTCTACATCCTACAGAGATGTGATATTAAACTAAAATTTGCAGTTCAAAGAATGAAACATCTCATTCTAAACATATAAACATTTAATATAATCTTTCAAAGTCAAGCGAAAATAGCGACCTTGTTACTACATGCAATCCTTTGTTAGAAAATGTCCAGCTTCTGATTTCTTCAGCAGTCAGCAGAAAGAAAATGATGACACCTGCCTCCAGGTAAAAAATCACCAATCCAAAAAATGTTGATTATAACTGTAAATATGTACCGTCTAATCACATCATGAACAAATATTTTAAATCATCCACAGTGAGGCGACTCTGACGATCACCAGTTCCATCCTCCCCAAACGCAGATGCAACCATCTGTCTCTTCTTTTGCTGCAAGTAAGCAATCACTACATTTTACACTTTTTTTCATAGCATTTTACTGTACATGTTGTGCAATGAATAAGTATTGTAAAGCTAGTAAATCAAGACATATCAAACAAGAACAGGTCAATTTTTTTTTACCCTAGTATGACTATATGTTAAGCTACCAAGTTTTCGGGTCAATTTTGATTTAATTTAAATTTTTTTAAAAAAATATTAAAATATCTATATCAAACCAATTAACTAAAAATATATTTAATATAATATATATATATATATATATATATATATTTTTTTTTTTAATTTAAATTTTATTATTAAAATTAGTTTTTATTTAAGATATAATAATTTTATATATAAATTATAAAAAATATATCTATTTAATCTCAAAATAAAAATTAAAAACTTCCTTTTTTATCATTATTTTTTTAATAATTTATTAATTTAAAATAATAATTAAATTTAATCATTAGAACTTGAAATAAGTAATTATTAGATATTTATTCTTAGAATAAGTAAATCTTTGTCAAGTTAATTTATAATACATATATATATTTTGAATAAAATAATATTTTTATTTAAAAAATAATTATTATTCTATAAAGTTCATAAATCTATGAACTAATGTGACGTAAACCTATATAGATCATGACATAAATAAATCATATCAAAATAAATCTGATTCAATTACGGTCATAAAATATGTGGCATAATTTAATCTATTTCTTGGATTTTTTGGACCACCCTTCCTTTCAAATATTAGGTACAAAATGACTTTAGACATCAGTGAGTCACATAGGTGCTAACTCGAACAGTATAAGATGTAACATGATTAAGAGCAACTTACTAGGACAAAAAAAAAAAAAGTTACCTGCAGAGCCAAAATTCGATCTTCAACTGTATCTTTCACAGTTAATCTCAAGACAGTCACAGGACGAGTCTGCCCAATTCGATGTGCTCGATCTATTGCTTGGTCTTCAGTTGTAGGATTCCACCACAAATCGAGCATAAGAACATGGCAAGCTACCACCAGATTTAGACCAAGACTGGCAGCCTTCAAAGACATGATTATAACTGATACCTACAAGACATGTCAAACCTTATCAACAATGTATCTGGCTGCCCGTTTTATGACATGGGAACCAGAAATTCAATCAAGATTGGAAGGGATCTGCAGTTTTACTAACCTCAGGAAGAGTGTTAAAATCTTTAACAGCTTTATCTCTCGCAACAACTGACATTGTTCCATCAAGCCTTCTATAATTAATCGAAGAATTCTTGAGACACGCTTCAAGCAAATCTAGCATCCTCGTCCACTGAGAAAACACTATAGCTTTCTCCCCGACGACAGTAACAGAATCACTATGGCATCTATTATCATCAGACAAATTTTGATTCTCAGGAGAATCTATGAAGGATTTCCCATTGTTAGCATTGGAGGGTTTCCCAGGGCAATCATTATCTTCCCTGAAAGTGCTATGCTGAGAAGTACTTTTTGATTTATAGAACTGTGGCTTAGACAAAGACTTCAAAACCTCAAGTGCGGCCTTTATTTTCGAAGATTCATATGGCTGACTTTGAGACCAAGGCTCAAATTCTTCCTCTTCAGAACCAGAGCAACCAGGTGAATTATCACAACCCTGGTCAGAAAGACAATTGTTCAGAGTGGCTTTTGAAAATACCATAGATGTGCTCAGTCGAATTTTGCAATTTGCAGCAGGGCACTGGTTGTCAACACCGGTAACATGTTCACATATGCATTGGTTGCAGAAAACATGGCCACAAACTGAAACAAATGCATCTTCAGGAGGATCCTGTTCAGAAAACAAGTGATAGGAAAGATACGGCAGCGGGTCAGAGAGGACATATACTTCGCCAATAATTATGGTTAACGTGGATGATAAATGCATGCAACAATTATACAAGTCCTTTACCCTCAAAGTAAGCAAGGTAAAAATAATTCTCAATCATCCTTCCCCATTTTCTGCAAGGGTAAACAAAACCTTTTCCATCTCCATCCATTTTTAATCCCTCGAGTTTACTTCTTTCAGTAACTCTAACCCCTTCCAAGCACAACCTATGAGTCTATGACCCTAAGAACTAATATAGAATCACAACTAACCAATTTAGGTTCAAGCAAACAAATAACCATACACACAGAGATGTGCAGTCACGCAAATCCAAATTTATAAATACTAAAGGAAGGTCAATACATACATTACAAATGCTGCAGAGGGCCATGGAAGCCTCTAAACATTTCAGAAGAGAGATTTGTTTTTCCTGAGGAAGTGTCTTTGCCATCTCCACAGAAGATCTCCATAGAGAGGTTGAATTATATCGCTTGACAAGCAAAGGGTGATCACAAGCTTGTCTAAGCCGCAGAAGCATCAGCAAAATGTTGACATAATTTTGCTTGACAGTTCCAGCATCAGCATATTCCTGACATCACATCACATCACGCACATGTCAATAGTGGACTTTAAATATGGCTTACCATGATTTGAGTTGAAAAAATAGGCTCAACCACATTACAAACAATATATTATAAGTTACATAAAGATTCATTAATAAAGAAAATACCATACCTGGAACTGTGCCCGGGAATCGGCCTCTAGTTTGTAATAGAAATCACGTTCCTCCATTGAAAAATCAACTTTTTTCAGCTCTATATGTTTAGGCGGCAAGGAAATAATAGGTTCCCCATCAAGAAGTGTACCTACAGAAAATGATCATCACATGTTTACATAGGGCATATTTGAAATCAATACAACTGATGATTGCTTAGAGGAATGAGGCCCACGAACAATTCAATAGCTACTAACAAGGCAAGAAAGGGAAACTATAAAATGAAAAAGTATATAATTCAGTACAATGCCTCAAATTCTATCCATGTAATAAGGCATACAACATTGAAATGATAAACATGGAAAGGGAATGCCGCGCCTGTGTGTCTCTGCATTTTGATCACGTTATTTTATCTTGTTGAGTTAAAAATTCAATGCTTATTTTAATTTTAGTTTTATGTTATTAGTAATCATGATTGGTGAGTGATTTTTTTGTTGGTAGCAGTTGAAATGAATAGGCATATGTGTGTGGAGAAGTGATTTGTTTGTGAGTAGCATTTGAAACGTTGTATGTGTTTAGATAAAGTTTAACTTAGACAGTTTTGTAAGTTATGAAAAATTAGCAAGTATAATTTGATTAGAGACAGTTTTATAGGTACTAGAGAGTTTGTAGGTAGTAGAGCCTTCGTGTGAGAAGAAGGAAATAGTTATATCTTGAGGCTAACAAAATTGGGTAATTACTGTTATTTATTGTTATAGACGACTAAGACAGCAAACTAAGGAACATAGTTACTATTTTGATGATGTGAATTTGATGATGATGTGAATTTCATGATTCAAATAAATAAAATCTCACCTTTGGTGCGGCGTAACATTATAGTCTTCAAGACAGCTTGTAGCTTTCTATACCCTTTCGCTGGATTTCTGCTTATCAGGTTCTTAATTGTAGAACAAAATGATGTATAGACATCATACGGGTCATATCTTAGAAATCTGAAGTAACTGTAGAGATCATCAATTGCATTCTGGATAGGAGTCCCTGATAAACACCATCTTCGCTTAGCACGAAGACCCCAACAGGCCCTTGCGACTTGAGTTTTGTGATTCTTTATACTCTGGGCCTCATCCAAGACAACCCTAAACCATGTGACCTTTGCAAGCGGCCGAGCAATAGCCTCGCGAACTGTATCATCTGATCTCTTCTTACCACTTTTACTAGAATTAGAAGGACATTTTCTTTTCTTACTTGGTACAGCATGATCTTCAAAATTTTCCTTCGTCTCATCATCTTTGTCTGCTGAAGGCTGCTTAGTGACCTCCATGCTCACAATGGAATAAGTAGTTAGGACAACATCATACTTAGCAACCTCATAAGGATCTCTTGTCCGATTGCTTCCATGGTATACTAGCACGGAGAGATTTGATTGACTAGTTACCTTGCTGCGCAACTCCTCTGCCCATTGACGTAGGACACTAGTGGGACAAACAATAAGGGTCCCGGCAGATGGCCTTCCCTTTGCTTGATTATGCAAACTCATGCTCTTGATTGGATATCGACTTGACTTATCCTCACAAATATTAGATTCTTCCTTTACTCTACCATTCTGAGGAAGCACATCATCATCCACATCCAGATTCAGAGAATCCAATTCACTTTTTTGGGCAATGGCATCCCCAATAAGTAATGGAGGTCTTTCCTTCAATATTAATGCAATAGTTGATACAGTTTTTCCAAGTCCCTACAAGAAAAAAGTTTTTAACTAACTACAGCACAAGAAAACCAAACTTATCAATTACTTATAATCTCTCACATTAACACAGCAGGCAACTAACCTGATCATCTGCAAGAATTCCTCCAGAGCAATGTAAACTTGATGCTTCTTTTTGAACCATCCATGATAAAGCAATTCGCTGACCAAGACAACTAAAATTGGTTGGAATATTCAATGTCTCAAATATACATACAAAGCAAGTTATCAGAACATCTCAGGAAAAATAGGATTTAGTTTACAAAGGATTGGGTCAGTAGTCAGAATTAGACACACAAGCACAATAAAGTTCTTGCCTCCATACAAACCAACAAGACATGATTTTCAGGTCAGCGGTCAGAAGTAGACACATAAACACAATAAAGTTCTTGCCCCCATATAATCCAACAAGACATGATTATCAAAGAATACTCATGTACCTATGATTTCTAGTCTCAATCTTATCCCTCAGGAAAGTTGAATTTCTTTTATTGTCAGAGGAAATAATTATTAAAACAATTTGTCAAGGAAATAAATAAAAAAAAACATGACAATTTACTTTAGGATAATAGCATCTTCGAAATTTCACATCTTAAAAGACGATGAGGGTGTGCTCAAGTGTGAGTGTGTGACATAGCATTAGTACTGATATGATTGATTCATTTAATGAGTCGTAGAAGTTATCTATTTTTTTAAATATTAGACAAGAAAAGTAACCTGATGTCTTAAAAGAGGAACTGCCAACAACCCTTCTGGTAGACTAACTTCTGACTTTGGCTGAGATAGATCCTACAGTGAACCACAGAAGAGTTAAGTGCAGTGGCAGAAGAATATTCTCATATCTGCTAACAGCTACCAAGGATAAAAACAATAAAATAAAGGAGCCAACCTGCAATGCAACTCGTAATATATTTCGCTCATCACATGCCTTCAGCCTTGTACTTCCAACCATGTAAGACTCAGAATCAGCATATGGAGAAGATTGAGATATATTAAATGAATTCCCAATGTTTGCAGATTGGCTTGTTGGAGCAGGATGACTGAAGTCTTCAATAATGCAAACATCAGGGTCCTCCTCAACATGGAAATTCTCAATTTTTCCTTTTGAAAGATGAGAATCAACAAGTTTATGTTGAACCCCTCCTCTCCTAGCACAACCAAACTGCGTCTCACGGGTAATTAGTGCCTGAGTATGGGACCAAGATATATTTTCAGATTTTAAATTCAAATTGTCCACGTTTCCATGAAAACTAGCAATTCCACCATTGCTATCTTGATATTGATTGGATATCCCTGATATAAATGCATAACTATCCTCATTATCAAAACATTGGTAAGCCTGACACCCTCCAGAAGAAAAATTACCAGGTGTTTGTTTCACCGATTGGCCTACATTGAACTTAGCATCCTCAAAATTGTTTTGGTAATGGTCTCCATATGGCATGTATGAATCACCAACTGAAAGAGACAGGGATGACATGTCATCAAAAATAACATTGCCAGAATGAAAAGGTGAATAACCATTATCAGTTAACATGCTTTGACTATCTTGTAAAGACATCCACCCAGCAGTGCTTGACGGCATGCCACTACTCATACATGTAATATCAGCATTTAACTCCACATTTTCGGCCTTCATGTTATTCATCATTTCATAATTTGGCAACAATTGGGAACAAAAGCCATTAGGCAAAATAGCAAGAGAAGAGTCATCCACAAAAGGTCCATCATGCATTCCCTGGTAACAAGTTGAAGATCCATGGTAGTCAGTAAAATCACTGGAAGCATGGGAACCTTGACCAATAGCAGAATAATTCGAAGTTGCAACATGAAAAGATGTATCAGCATCCATAAATGCTTCAAAAGATGTACATGAATCATTTTCCTGTTGCCCAGAAACTCCACCAATGATATCTTCAGCGTAACCTTCAATATGTACATCATCACTGTCGACGATAGAACTGATTGAAGCACCTACAAATAGAAAATATAATCAGACTTTTGCCCAAGTTTCAAATATACAATGATCTAAAGTAAAATTATGAGATTCTTCACAACCATATCCAAGTGAAGATTTCACATACTTTCAAATTCAACATCCTCTCCCAAATGCTTGAATTGGCTCTCATTTTCACCCTTCCACAGACTCAGATTCAAATTATCTCCACAAATTGATATATTGTTTGAGTGTGCCTCAGGGAAACTTGATTCTACACTACAAGCAGGTACCTCATGTTTAGAGACTCCAGTCCTTTCTGTGTTGAAAACCTCATCACTTTCACCTGGACAGAATGAGTTTCTGAGATTATCAGGAAAAACATTTGGGGAGGAGCAATCCTGAGCTCGGGGTCCCTGCTTTTCAGGTTCACAATCAAACCAAGAATTTCCTGTGGAATCAGATACACCAACTGAACATCTGACACTAGAATCTGACACATCTGAGCAGAACACATTGATATCATCCGTTAAATATTACATCATGATTCATTACTAAGAAGTTGTATAACATGAAGACACGTACATACCATTTTGTATCGGTAAAGTACCATGAATTCCAGTTTTATTGTGTAAAGCATTATTTCTTGATGAAGAATCCTGGGGAATTTTCTGCTGGGCCATAAAATGAAAAGGTATAAGGATAATATCTATTATGTCAAGGAGGCAGTTGAAATCCAGTCCCGAAACACAAAATGATACTCTATTCAGGACCTTCACATTCACACTCTGAGTGGGAACTAAATGACGCAGGCACAGATTGACTGACACGTCACTGGCATCTCCCATTGTCAAGTGAATGTGAATATAACATACAGAAGCAATGAACTTCAAAAACTAAATAAATAATAACTTTTGCTAAACATTTTTTTCTAAAAAATCACTTCGAAGCTGCTTACGAGTAAACACTCCGTGCATGAATTGACCTTCCTTTTTTTCTTTCACAAAAGTCATTCGTAGGCACACAAGCCTGATGCTTTCCGAATATAAATTTGCCCTGTTAATAACCTTGCCATAAATTTCTTACTTTCATGAAATAGAGAATAAATAATCAAATACGGTGTCAAATTAGACAATAGTTACCCAAAGAAAATTAATTATTGGTGGCAAAAAAAAAATAATTAAACAACCGGCCTTCTAGTTCTGAGCAGATTACATCTTCAACTCAACAAAGCAAAATAAATAAATCTTTTGAAAACGAAAAAATAAACGACGTTGCCACTGACAGAAGCTTCAATTCTTCTACACAAGATACTCCATTGTCATGGTTAAATTACCCATTTCGACAGTAACCTTACTCACAAAGTCACTCAAAGCATTCGGAATTTCAGTCTCTGTTTGGCAAGAAAAAACCCTACCTCCAGAAAATCATAATCAACATCTTCATCGAGAACCTTCTGAACGGTCTGAATATCTATATAAAACATGTCATCATCGTCATCGTCACCACCATGGAACAGTTTCGAAAAGTCCACCGTATCATCCGCCATGACACCACCACCGCCGCCTCAAAAACCCTAAAAGCGTTTTCTTGAGCAGCGAAGAAAGCCACACTCGAGCAGAAGCAAAACCTCTTCCTCCTTCTCCAAAACCTCCTCCCCGAATCGCATAATTCAGACAAATGGGGTGCAAATCGAGGAAGATTACCGAGTCAGAATGGATCAGTTTCTGGAAGATTCGACTTTTCGTCCAGCCAAAAGTCAGAAAAGCCAGAACAGAATCAAAAATATAAAAATTAGAGAATGGGAAAACGTGAATAACGGGTGCAGTTTAAATACCATTGGGTTCGTTACAAATAAACCCATGTCATTGGCCTTATTCGCACCGAGAGTTCACTATTGTTGACCACGAATAAGTAACACAGATTCCCTTCTCAAGCATGCGTGTTTTCTCTTCTCAAAATTAAATAAAAAACATTATATATACTCTCTAGATTTTTTTTACCATGGATTGGGTTTAATTTCACATATCTTGTTTCTTACGCAATGCAGATGAAAGTGAAACAATGGGATTAAGGAAGGAATTGATGAACGAGTGTCGTTTCTACGTGCAGCTGTAACCTACTAGTCAAAAGGGAAGAAAAAAGGGGTTTTGTCGAAAAGATAAAATGGTGTTTGGTTAGTTGCTTATTTTAGACAAGTTGGTGGAGTGGTCCTATGTTTTATACTTTTCTCTGATATTTGTTGGCCTTGAGTCAGATTAGCACCTCTTTTTTATTCTTCTACTTTGCCTTTCATACATATCCAAGGGACATGACAAACTTCGATTTCCCTTGTTTGAAATGGAAAATAAAGTGAGATTGTTGTTGAATTGTTCACATTTACAAGTTATTATAAATGTTACGATTATAACTACTGAAGAATATTCTCTGTTTTATTCATTCACTTTTCTTTAATGTGAACATCTCTAAGCTGGGTTTGGTTGAGATAACCAAAAAAATCTAATTTATACAACCGGAAACAAGAAATGAAGATGGTAAAATTAAATTATTTTCAATTCGTTTACTTTTTTTATTTTTAGAAAATTATGCATCCTCAGGTTTGGTTTGTTGCTATTTGTGCATAGGTATGATTCTTGGTATTTGCTTCTGAATTGCAGAACATTAACAGAGTATTCTTGTCCCACTCTTTATATCATCTGATGTTCCGCCGCAACTTGTTTTTTCTAGCCTTACATATTGTGGCGGTCTGGAATTAAAAGCCGACAAAACATTTTAAGACAAGAAGTTATTTCCTTAATTTCAAATTATTAGAAAAATCTCGTATCAAATGTGCCTTTAGATTTAATTTATTTGGATCCCTAGACGATAGTTGTGTTCACAAATGGCAGGCCAAATCTTCATAAATTTATCCGTCAACCTTTCAAATAAAGTCAAACAACAACGAATATGGATCAGTTGATGTAAAAAATTCGTTAACTGATCCATATTCGTTAATTAAATTAAGATAATAAAATTCAATTTAACGAAAATTTAAAAAAATGAAAAACATATTTAACCAAAAAATTTTGAAACGGACGCAGAACATATTTTTCTCGTGTTTTTTGGATCCACCATGACCAACAGAATATTGAGTTTCATGGCCTCAATACGAAGCCCAATTCATGGCCAAGTCTTTAAAAACGACACTTTCTTTATCCATCTCTATAGTTTCTTTTGTCACTTATGAATTAAATTAAATTTTATTTTACTTTTATACTTATATTCATCTTTATAAGTATTTATGTTTGATTTTTAAACCTTCATAAAATATTTTTATTATTCCTTCTCCTAAAGATTTATAAATAAACATGTAAGAATCTCCATTGATTTTAATTTGTAATAATTTAACACGTATAATATTCGTGTGATAAGAATTTCGGCTGAAAACACGTTTTAAAAGTTGGAAATCCAGTTAAAAAAAAGAATATATTTTTAAAATTGATTTTTTATTTTGGATTAGTGGGTCCGAACTACACTTCTAAATTACACATTTTGAAAATTTATTCGAGAACTACTAATCTAAAATGTATTTTTGAAAAATTAATTATGAAACATGTTTTTGGAAAAAAAAAACTAAAGTGTATTTTTGAATTAACTTTTTCATAAATATATTATGGAAATTATTTCAAATTAAGCAATATGGGTATGAAAGTGCATTTTTAGTATAGCAACATGTAATAGATAAATAATATTAATATTAATGATTCCACAACTTCAATTATTGGAAACCATTGAACAAATGTGATAGCACAATAAACCAAATGTGCATATTTATGAAGGTGCACAACTTTAGTTGAAAAATAGAAAAAAAAAAAAGATTAGGATTTAAAACAAAAATTATTAAACAAATATTTTAGTTATTTTTACTTCAAATATAAAGGTATACAATAAGAAAGTAGAGCTGTGCAAGAAAGTCCCTTAAGAATTGACTATAATTTCCCTTCCCTTGGAAACTATTTTCATTATTAGCGTCCATGTTGTGTGAATGAAAAGTTTTTTGAATAATCTATTTAACTTTTCTTAATTACATTTATATATTATGTTACTTCATTTAATATTAATTAATTTTAAGTTAAAATATAATATAATATTATTTTTTTAATTTCTTCTATTTTAGTTTTGAAGAGAGACTCACTTTACATATTTTAATTATTTTTAGTCGAGAGAGGTTAAGAAAAAGCTAACATTACCTATTTCAGTTCTCTAAATATGATTTATATATTTATTGATTAATTTATCTAATATTAATTGATTTTAAGTTGAAATCTAATGTTTTATTAAATTTTTTAGTTGAATCTATTATAAGATGATCTTCTTAATTGATAAAGTGTTAAGAAAGTCTTCACCTCATATTATTCTTTATAATGAAAAAAATATTTAAAAAAAGTTTTACATTATTTACCTTAATTATATATAAAACTAAATTCTTTATGATTATCTTTGATGTAGCTAGGTGTGGCTTTTAATGATTCTTAGGTGAGGATATTACTTGAATGCATGGAAGAGGCATGTTGAGACACAAGGTGGGAAGCTTTGGAGTGAAGTGGATGGAACCCTTTTCCACAATGGAGACCAACGACTCTACCTAACCATGGCACCAGTCTCTCCATTATTTCTCTTGGCAGGTTTCAAGGTCTGTGATGAGGATGTGCCATGTCCACATTAAGACTTTTGAGTCAATCAAATATTAATAGGAGGATGATGACGATGATGTGTGTTGTGAAATGTAACTTACAATCATTTTTAACCTAATAATAAACGTTTGATTCAACCATTCATATCAAAATCAAATTCGAGATCTTTATACACTTTCTTTGTTTCGTTGTGCAACTCTTATGCATGTGCTTTAAAATTATGTAAAAGCAAAAGAGAAAGACGTGGAATAAGAAGACAATGAGAAGAACCGAAAGGAAACGCGTGAAACCATCGTAGACAACAAGTTATAATCAAAGCATCATCACTTTTGACTAATTTTATAATGCATTTTCCAAGCCAGCCTTATTTTTTAATTTTTAAAAATTATCTTAATAATTACTTTAAAATAATTATTTTAGAATAAATCAAAGAAATTTTTCAATTTTTTTTAAAAGCTATTCTAATATCAGCAATACCAACTGAAAAATAACTCTGATGTCATTATAAATATATTTTTTATTTTAGGTTTCTTTTTTCATTAATTGTACTTACGTATAGTTCACATAAAATTACTAATTTTTATTGGTGTCATTTTCCTTTCTCTTAGACAGTTTTTTTAAATTAGAATTATTATTCTTTCAAGTTTTTGTGAAAAATAATTTCTCAAAATTGATTATGGTAAATATTTATAAAAACTAAAATCCAGAAACAAACTCATTTTTGTTAGGTTTTTATTTTATAACTTTTTAAAATTGCCAATGCATTCTCGATTTCACACATATATCAAATTTTACTAATATCTTAATATTATTTTTATGATTTTATTCTCATAAAAAAAATTATTATGAATTTTTCTTATAAATGTTTTTAGAACATCTTGAACATTGGTACAAGGACGATTTAAATAATTTTGCATGTGTTGTTTTTGTTGGGTGTTGGTGTGATTGTCGTACAAACTGTGCCATAAGTGGAAAGATTCTAATTCCCACAACCAAGAGCATGTCTTTGACGACAAGCCCATAAAATGGTCCGTCTGTCATGTGGGCCCAGGTCATGGCTTATGGGCTCCACCCACTGTCTGTTGTAGGCATAAACATGAACTCCAGAAGCCCACACATGGAGGCCCTCTATGTTTCAAACCCTAAACCCCAAAAGCCCAGCTCCATTGAAACCCTTTCCTTCAGCTTTCCTCTACCACACCTATCAACTTGTCAAGACTTGAGTTCTTTATTTAGTTTAAGGGAAATAAATGAAAAAAAAAAAGAGATAGAATGAAAATATTAAATTTCTTCTATTTATTAGAGACGAGAGATTTGTGATATTTAAATAAAATAAAATAAATGAAAACTAGATTGTAAAAACTAAAATACACTCACGATGGTCAATTGAAGAATTTATAATTTTAAAACTATGAAAAATCAAATACATATATAATGAAAATGAAAATCATTTATAAATTTTACCGTTAATTTTAAATATAAATTATTAATATACTATTTTCTAAAATTCCGTTCCTTCTTAAAGACTCAAACATAAGAAAAAATCAACACAGAAAAAATAAGATAGTGAAGTATTATTTTTTTATTTTATTTTTAAAAATAATTATTTTCACATTAATTAAGTCCTATATATTATTAAAATATATACTAAACTAAGTATATTTTATATAAATTTAATATTTTAAACTGATATAACTTCTATAATATATTAATTCTTGAGTAAATTACCCTATCTACTCCTACAAAAAATCGTTTTTTTTTCAATTCTATAGTATATTTTAAACTGATATAACTTCTATAATATTCGTTTTAATCAAGTACGTATATTTTGTAATTATTTTTAACGAGGAAAATGCAAGAGTGGTTATATATTTAAAATATTATGATTTAACGCGAATATTATTTTGTTATTTATGTTTATTCTAATATTCATAGAATTGATTTTTGTTATAATTATTATTTTATAAATTTCAGTGGAGAGCATAGCAATGATAAGATGGCAACAACATGAAAAGAAGAGAAAGTTGTGAGGGCACTGCGTGCTCACGTGAGCCACACATGCACATGGATGATGATGCTGATCTTACGCATAACATACATACATATACATACATAGAGTGTGTTTGACAAAGAAGTTTGCACGTGCGAGGGGAGGCATGGACGCGTGAACCCTTCACATCAGTGGAGAATGATGGATGATCTGATGGTGTTGACCCCTCAGACTTTGACCACCGCAAGAACGGGATCAACGGCTAGCATTCATTGGGAAATGGATAAGGGCCGTCGATATGGGAGACAACATGGAGGTGGGCCTGATGTTGGGTTGGGCCTGAAAAAGGGCGACACAAATTGTGGTGAGATGTGGTAATGGACACGTGGAAAAAGAGTAGAGTAGGGAACCACCTCGTTTCACCTCACACTTCAATTAACTTGAGACCCAGCTCAGGTAAGTCTAATTCAGTGTCTAGAAAATCCAAAATTCAACAATATATTATTGTTTCCACAAAAAGTTTAGTGTAATTTTTACAAGATTTTAATATTTATCAATTATTTTTGTAACCAATGCTCTGGTAATTAAGAAGATTATAGTAAACATGAAACTTCATGTAATTTGGTGATTGTTCTGAAATATTTTATCGACAAAGTTGATAATAATTGTTGTGATGCGATGAAGACAGAGTGCATGTGCTTGGTTTTTCCAAACATTTGCATTTTGTAGGTGAAGCATGAGAGGGGGCACAGAGACACGATGCATTATGAGTGGATTCATATTGATTTATGAACACCATTATTTTCCTCGACTAATATTTTTGATTGAAACTTGTGTAAACTTCGGATGAAGTTGTATGTGGTCAAATGAATGGGTAATAATGCAGTAGTTGTGCAAGAAGTATACTGATACAAAAATACAGAAGAGAAAAGAAGTGTGATAAAAACCAAAAAGAAATGTGGGTAAATATAGGACGAGGACAATTTGTAGGTTCCAATCGTGCAAGTGTTGACCTGCTGCATCCAAATAGTTTTCAATTCTCTTTCCTCATCTTCCATTATGCCATCATACTTGTGTTTTTCTTAAGACCTGTTATAGATTTCTCTATGTTTGTTTCATTTCATTTAATATATCAAGTTTTTTTATTATTATTTATTGATAATAATTTTATAAAAATAAAAGAAAAACACGCCGGAACTCCAAAACCACAAACATTTAAGAATATTAAATATAATACCGATAAATAGATAATGTGAAATATTTGAAAGATATAAAACATATCTAATTCAGTTCTTCTAAATAGACTAGAATTCATGAAACACTTATACACATTTAGTTATATGTGATAAAGATCTATTATTTAATATCTTAAAATTTTTAATTCGAAGTTTCAATATTTGTTCATATCTCATTAATATTGTGTTATGTATAATGAATCTCCTCTAAAATCCAACAAGCTCGTTAGAAAATGTATAAGATTAAAAAGTATAGTCTACATGTTATTACAGAAACAAAATATAAATATATTTTTAAAAAATATAACTGAAAAAAATAATTATATTTGAAGAAAAAAATACTTAAGTAATAATTATTTCATAATAGTGTAATACTTTTATTAATTAGAAATATATTATTATATAGCCGTGTAAAATTTCCATTTTTATAACACATTAAAATGATATTTCATTATTTTTGTTGTGGTCGTATGAGATCGATATCCTCCACAGTGGTGGCAGTCCAAATAATCATAATTAATCCTTCATTCTTTCCCATCCAAAATGTAAATTATTTTTCAAATGATAATTAAAAAAAATCAAAGTTTGTAGCAGCATATTTTTTTGGTTATATCATTTTTTTTCTATCTATCTTACAAAATTAAAGATCTCTTTTAATATTTTATTTAATTTTTGTTTTAAAGATCAATTTCATTTTGATACTTTAATTAAGTAATTTCAAATACTCCCAACGAATTTTAATTTAATATTTTTAAAATTTATTTTAAAATATTTAAAAATAAAAATATTAATAATAAAAATATTAATAATTCAAACATTAACTTTGATAATAATAAAATAATGCAAATACTATACTGTAATAATGCTGTGAAAATAAGATATTTCAATATTTAAAATTTATTTTATCATAATTAACATTATTATTACTATTAAATGTATCTCGTTTATTTTTAATAATTATTTTATGTAATATATTATATGTCAATGTGATAATTTAACTTAGTAAGAGAAATAATTGATTTATATATTATATTTGGTTAAAAACTAGTGACACAAAATTACCATGTGATAGAATATGACTAAACTTCTCCAAATCAAAATCTAGGCTAGCATTACTAAATATACTTTCAACATTTTTTTCTCATTGTTACTTAATAGTTTAAAAAACTATATTTTTTTTCCTTATGACATTAGCATGATTCTCATGAACATTGTTCAAGGATAAATATTAATTGTTCAATAAGGATAAATATTAATTGTTCAATAATATTTAATATTATAATGGATTTTATTAAATATAAAATTGTATTGTAGGTGTTCAATTTTATAAAAAATAATTAAATAAAAGCGATTGAATTAATATATTAATATCATTGTTTGAATTTGCACTTCCAAATTATACACTCAAATTTACTAATTTTTATGAAACAAGCGTTGTTATAGGATTGCAATAACCACCTGTTAAATATTGACAATTAAACAATTTTTTCATTATTTATGCATACAGTTAATCAAACCTAACATATTTATAAATTCATATTCTCCAATTTGTATAAGGGGATTAATGTCATTATCGTTTGACTTTTTTAAATACACATCACCAAATATTTCACTCACACCATTTACAAAATCTTTTAAACATTGCTTTTTAATATATTCAACAATTTGAATATACTTATCACTTGACAAGTAATCTATATACCAATGTATGAATTGTTTTAGTGCATTTTTGTAAATGTGATAAACCTCTTTTACTAATTACATTAGAACTCATTCAAAAATAAAGATCGTGATTACTGAGAAAATGTACAAATTGGAAGGAAGAATTGCTTCCCTATTCAAAACATTCACATGTGTATACAAAATTTTCTTAAAAATAGTCAAATGAATATCATGATTATGATTTATGATTTTGTTTTTTTTGTCTAGATTAAGTATTATCATCTCCTTATTGTTGAACCTTGTGTAAATATATCATGATTTATCTTTAAATGTTATTTTTAAGTGTCTCTTGAAGAACTTGATCCCTAAGTATTTCAAACTCTAAATTTGAATCCATTAGATAAGTGAATGGAGAGAAAAAAATGGACATGATTGAAAAATTTGTATAAAATTTAAATGTTTTTATGAATTAAATAATATCTTATGACTACTAATTTTATTTATAATAACTAATTAAAACTTAAAGACTAGCAATCATACTGTCACATAATATTATTACAGCATAATGTAGTTACGTATAATTTTATGGTTCTTGCATTTTTAAACATCTTGGATGTGTCATTTATTAAAATTTCATTCATTGTTATTATGTTTTTAGTCTTTTATGTATTTAGAATTTGTTTTATATTTTTTTTTTCTTGATTGTAACTTTCATGCCTATCAAGTTTATTGTTGGTATAGATGTTACAACTCTTTTTTTATTTATCTTCCTTATGACAATTTTTTGTCCCATTGGGTTAGTGATGAAGTTTTATTATCCAAAATCTCAATTATTAGACAATAAGGAGTATTTTCCATTGACATAATTTTTTGTTGTTTTTAAACTTATTTTTTTCGTTCTTCTAACTATTATCACTATTAAAAAATTAGTTTTTTTCTGCCAATTTTCTTGTAAATATAGAAAACTTATTTCTTGTAATTTTTACTAAAATTTTGCAAAAATATTTTCATGAAAAATGAAAATTTTTAGTCGTGTATATTAGTTTTTTAATAGTTTCCATGCATGCTCTGAAGTCAAATCAAATGTTATGTTTCCCTTTCAAATGGTATATGATATATTGTTCTTCCTATAACCACTTTTCTTCAAATAAAAACTTACTTGTAATTACCATTGAACATTTGAATGTTAACATTAATTTTTAACCATCAAATTTTGACATGATTTTGTGTATTATTTTGTAAATTGTCACAAAAAATTGTTAGTAATTCTGAGTTACTCTCAACCTAAAAAATCTCTTAATAATCATTCTCCAACTTGAAGATATATATCCGTTTACTGTATTCTAAATAATATATCTTATATTTAATATTTATGTTAAATATCCTCCTTTAAAGATAATTTAAAATATTTTTTCATGTGTTCACCAATAATCTTCACAGTTTTAAGAGAATGTCTTCGTAAATATTTTGTATAAGATACACGATAATATAATAATTACTATTTTTTCTAAGAATCAAAATAAATGTACACGAGAATGATGAATGATAAAAAGTGAGGAAATTGAAAAAGGAAAAGAATTAGAATAAAAAGTGAAGTTATTTTGATTAAACGAAAGAAACAAAAAAGAGTTGAAAATTTTTAAGTGTAAATGATTAATCTGATAAAAGTATAAATGGTTGATAAATTTATTTTGTAAAGTCAAAATTGTTCGCATCTCATTTTTTAAAAATTAGAATATCCAATATACAAACATGACATATTCTATGCAATATCATACTGAGAATATGCATAAATGGTTAGTAATGATATTAATAACCAAGTCAATTTAAAAAATAATTTAGAAAAATATAAAACTATTTCACTTCCATCTCCATCTCCTTCTTTGAAAGATGTTATCAAATCAATTATTATTATTATTATGTAATTTGCTAAAATAAAAACTTTTGAGGGTATTTCCCGAAATAACCAAATTTTAAATACTAACTTTTAAACATAGTAATAAAAAAATAATACAAGTTTTTATATATGTACGAATGTAAATTAAACTATAATATAGAATATATTTTATTTTACAGTTAGATGATACAATAATTGTTACATTTTTATAAACTATTAAAATTATACACTTTGCATCTATACGAAAATGACTCTTCTTTGTAATGGCAAATTATGACAAAAAATAACTCGTTTAATAATTGCACTGAATCAAAATAATTACGTAAAAACATTACTAACATAGTGATTATTGTCCCCATATTATATAATCCTTGTAATAATACTACTAATTATCCATGCATTGGTTACTCCTTTTTCCAACTCAATTATTTCAGTTAATGCATGTTTAATTTAATCATGCAGCACATATATATATTTTAATACAGAATAACTATAATGTTTTATGACGTGAAAATATATATGTTATTATATCATATGATAGCTTTGAAGAATCAACATAAAAAAATAAAAATAAAAACTGATTGTGTAGATAAAAATTATTTAAAGTACAATTAGTCAAAGAAATAAAATTTTAAATGGGTATTGGGAACTCAGAAAAAGTGTTCCCTCCTCTTTTCTATTTTAATATTCTATGCAAGTCACATTTTTTTGTTGGATATGATTAAGAAATTAGCCACTAAGTTTTATTAAAGTTTGTCGAATTCTGATTAGACACAAAGTTTAAATAATTGAGACTTTCATAGGGAGAAAATCCTGAGCCATCTCTTGCATGCAAACTTCAATCATACACAAAGGAATTAGACATGAAAAAATGTTATTTTTCACTAATACAAAGGGAAAGGTCCAAATCATGATCAAAAGTTAAAAGCTTCATCATGTTTTTTTTTTTTTTTTCCAACGCAAAAGTTGGTCGAAAGGGTTAATTAATATGTTTTCCTTCATTTCCTCTCACAATTAATCAGCAAACAAGAAAATTATAATATTTAAATGCAAGTTGAATTAATGTTTAATATTATTTTTTTAAGTTACCTCATTGTAAATTTTTTTGTAACATTTTAAAGTAAACGTATAATAAAACTTTGAAAATATTTAATTAATGGATAGATGATTGTATAAATAAGCTTTCCACCGAAAAATAATAAAAGTTGAGTCCATCATTGTAATAGATGTCATTATCAAGATGAAAGATAGCTTAATCTTCATATACCTTCCATGTCCCACCTTCAGACTCTGTCATCAATGATAAAACAAATATGGAAGGTAAAAAGGTAATCACTTTATAAATATTTATTTTAAGTCTAAAACAACATTTATATATTTAAAATACTTATTATTTATGATGAGTTTTGATGGTATAAACATACATATATATCTCTTGTATAATATACACTAATTAAAATGATAGTTATGAATGTAGTTTGAAATTTAATAGGCAAGATCAAAGTTAGAAGACAATACAATTATGATTAAATATAATTTATAATATAATCTAAATCGATAATAATATGATACAACATGAAATATTTTCAAATTAATTTTTTATAATCAATATTAAAATATATAATTTTAATAACACAAAATACTGATGAATAAAAAAAATTATATCCTTTTAAAATTTTAAATGGATTTTAGATAGTTGTAAAATTAAGTATCATAATAAGAAGAATAAAAGTGGAAAATTGAATATATTTTATTTGAACATTAATAATATAAAAAAATTAAATAGTAAATATTTGTTTAAAAACTTATTTTAATGCGTTAATAGAAGTCTGTAAAATAAAAATAAAAATTATAACTAAATTTAATTTATTAGTTATATATATATATATATATATATATATATATATATATATATATATATATATATATATATATCAAAGTAGGTAAGTGATGGATGTAGATTAGTTTTAGATTTTGTGAATTATGATGTTGTGTTTTTAATTGAGGCGTGAGAATAGTATTGTTGAGTGGTGTATACTGTAAAAACAGTTGGGTTTGGTTTTCTTTAGCTGAAATTGAAGTTGACTCAAAACAAAAGTTAGTAAGCTTAGTAAAGTGCGGGTGCAAGTAGAAGTTCAAAGAAAGAGTCTTCATTTATTTCAAAACCATTTATGATTTTTTCATTTTTCTTCTTCAATCCTTTCTTTCTTTCTAACAACACAAAAAACCACCTTCTTCTTCCTCCTCTCTGTGTTTTTCAACCTCCAATTTAACCACAATACAGTGAAAACACTGTAAAAAAACGTTTTGCAAATCAATAAAAGTATAATTTTTTAATCTTAAAAATAAAAATAAATAAAAATAAGAAGTGACGTATTATATTATACCTGTCTTATTTTATAGAAGATTTACGAATCAATCATATATAAATATTGATTATGTATTATATGTTTCTCATATAAGAGTATTAAAAGAGTTGAGAAATAATGAGTGAAGTTTGGAATTAATTTTTGAAAGACTATAAAAACAAATAATTGAATATTTTTAATGGACTAACTTATATATATTTTTCTAAAGGACTGTAAACCAAATATGTGAATTAAGGAATTAAAAATATATTTTAGTCTTAATAAATTATTTATTTAACACTTTTGAATCCATAACAATCTAAGTCTCTACTAATTACAGGACCAAAGGGAAGTGTAATTTATATTCTCATCTTTGAGACCGAAAGAATAACAAAATTTGTTAGAGGGAAGACATCATTAATGATTAAACAGCTTCATTAAAAAAGAAAATGAAGAATCATAGTATAACTGGAAAGAGGTGTTTGTTTCTGTTTTTATCGTATTTGTGAAATATATATATATATATATATATATATATATATATATATATATATATATATATATATATATATATATATATATATATATATATATAAAGGTGGAGAGAGGTCCTATCCAAATTCCAAACTTCACTTCACTTCACTTCTCTTCTTGTCTGTCCATTGCTTAACACTGTAAAACTCGCTCCATTGCCAAACTTCTCTCTACACTCTCCCACACTGTTTGAATTCTCGTTCTCTCTCTCGCTTGGCCAACACCAAAAATGGTTACAGCAGCCTAGCAGAACAAGACAGGAGAAGCTTCATCGGCACCAAAAATGGTGGCGGGAGACCAAGCCAATGGGAACGGGTGGCCACCAATTGGGGCACCACTCAACGTCCACAGAGACGACCATTGGACCAACTTTGACAGCTCCGTCAACGCAGTCTCCTTCGGCTTCGTCGCCACCGCCATTCTCATCTCCATGTTCCTCGTCATGGCCATTTTCGAGAGGTTCCTTCGCCCCACCTCGCCGCCCCTCTCCCCCGCCGCCCGCCCCGGCACCCGCGATGTTGAAGCCCAGATCGGCTTTTCCGCCAAGCTCGCTCACCCTTCTCCAAAAGTAAGTAAATATTAATTAAAAAAGTAAAATTCCCGTGTTCCAACGTTAAAGCCTCCACCTTTTCATGCTAAAAGTTGTTTTTACTTTGATGGGTTTTCTCCTTTTTTTTTTCTTTCTTTTCTGTAATTTTTAATTCGGATAATTTCCTCACTTGATTGCTCTGAGAATGCTGGATCTTGGGATTTTCTAAATTTCTATAGTCTTCTTGATATGTTCTTTAAATTAATTTCTTCTGCGCTGTTTGGTTCGTAGAGGTTTTGTGTTTGTGCCTATCATCTCAATCACCACCATCTTCTATGTTTCCTTGTTCATTCTTTGGACTTGAGTCTAACTCAATTTCAGAAATTCTCCCACTTATATATACCATTTTGGTTATATATTTTGCAACGAATGAGATCTCTAACAATCTTGGTCTTCCATCAGAGCTTTTTCCTAGTGGCTCTACTGTTCTGTTCTCTTCTTCAAATGTTTAATGTTTATGCATTTCCTGTGGTAAAGATGTTATAATATTTTGCTGCGGTGGTTAATATTGATCCCCAACTTCCCTTCAGTCAAATATGAATTTACCTCTGACAAACTTTTTTTTCTTATTGGAAAGTGAACTCAATAGCTTTTTGCTTACCCACCAATTTTTTTGGGTTTGATTTGATTCTGCATTTGCACGTTCTGTCAATTATCTTCGTTATGATTCGTGAGTGAACTGTATTGTCTTGTAAGTTTTATGTGGAGATGGTCCTCCATGGAAGCATTCTACTCAACACTTGGTCCCTTGCCACGAGTCTTTGTAAATCTTTGTGATTAAAGTTGAGACCCACGTTGTCCTTGTTGTTCATTATCTCTGGCATCTCCAAAATCTTTGATGAAACCGTGTTTGGCCGGTGTTTTTGGTCTCAGACAGTTGGTCAACTTTTAAACGCTACTCTTGTATGCTAATAGGGAAATAAAGTAACAACATGGTATATTGTATTTTATTCTACATATACATCTTCTTGGCTTGTACCACTTTAATATTTTAGTTTTTAACGTAGTCTAGTGTAGCATCCTATGATGAACCAGTGCCATGTAACAATTGTGTTGTCTGCCCTGTGCCATTCCTTCAGTGGAACACGCCGGGCCCACCTACTTGTCCAATCTAAACTCGCTAGTAGGGCACAACTTGATTGAGACTCTGTCTACAATGGAATTGTTTCTTTCACCTTTATCAAAACTATTAAATGATTCTCTAGTATTGGCCAATGAGATTTTTGACAGAAAAGCTCCCTCATCAACCAGTTCAAATTTTTATTTTGAAAGGAACTAATCCAGAATTTAATAGCTTACTTTTTTGGCATTTTCATAGTATTGTGTTAATGGAATATAGATAACAGAATATGGACTTTGGTGAAAAGCTCCACGCACTTTGGCTTCTGACTGGGATTCTTTTTATTGTTTATGGTAATGATAGTAGTCAGAGACCGTGTGAGCATTTTCTTTATATAAAAGTTAGTTTCACATAATTGGATTGGAGATGAATCACACTGAAAGGTAGAAACATAGGATGTGATTATTGAACTGTTAATCTGGTTAGGTCAGGACCAAGTGATCTGAAACACCCAAATACCCTGTTAATCTTATTGTGATGTTCAATTAAAAAAATGTTTACTCTTGTATTTATTACCAAGTTTAATAATAACTAACTATTTAAAGGTATCAACATGTTCTATAGTGCCGAACATTTATAGACCTTTAAATCCAAAGGGCAATTTCTATGCTTTGTTTTCTGTGGATCAATATGTCTCTTCTGTATGTTTAAATTATTGTCTTGCGTACAATACATTATTGTCAAATTTATGATATAAATGCTTTCGTTTTTGTCACTTTATTTCATTTCATGATATACAAAAGTGAGGGCCACTAGGAGTCTAGGAAAAGATTCTGCGTACCTAGTGAATCTTATACAGTAAAATTTAATCACTTTGATGAGTGATGGGATGTGTTTCTCTAGCTAGATCTTGGTTTATCAGTATAGCATCGGATGCAAACAACTTCACACAGTAAAATTCTGTGCAACAACAGTCAAAATGGGTGGCTCTATTGTGTTTTACCTACTTGTATTCGCCACTTCACTTTCCCTCTGTGCGTGCATCTTAGATCCATACCTGCCTGGCTGTGTCTGACATTGTGTGTCTAATTGATAGCATTGTTTTCTTTCCATAGCAAAGCTGTCACAACCAACTAACCTGGTTCGATCTTCAGTTTAAAATGGGTGGGTGATAATGTCTGGTACTATTTTCCTTTCTGGCATGGCTACTGTCTTCCGTTTTTCTGAACTAGGCTAGGCCCTCTTGGTGAATTTACTTTTTGTGTGGAGAAGTTTACCTAGAAAATAGTACTGCAGTTGTTGCATTAGTATATCTACATACAGAATGTGTATAAACACCAGCTAGATGATTGCATACTTTAAATAGCCTAGCCCTGAATGATTTCACATGTTCATTGATAATACATTTTATTCTGTTATGATGCCACAAGTAATGCTTTTAACGGGTCTTAGGAAGAGTTTATACATAATCTATTTGAACTACAAAAATAACTTGTGCTTCTTACAAGTTCTTCCTAACTTGTTTCAATAAATTTTACATTCAAGATTGTGACATAAGCTATCATGTAAAAAGACTTACTGTATTTGCACTCTATTTAGTTGTCCACCCAAACACATCCTTACACATAAATGGAGCAAACAAAGAAGCATTTTTACCTTTTGTTTTAATTATACATGAATTTCATCCTGGTTTTCTGCAATTTTTGCAGATGAGTGTATATGCAAGTGGGGTTTCAGTTCTGATGCCTGGAGATGAGATTCCTACATTTATTGCTCATCCTGCTCCATGTTGTCCAGAACGAATATCTTGGCCTTCTCATCAGCATAACACATTACCATGCTCCTCTTCAAATACCCTCTCTACTACTATCAATTAAGTCTTAGAGATATGAATATAGACAAAGTTCTGCATACTGCGTCAAGGGCTTGATTCATTTTCTGTGAAGAGTAGACTATTTCTTGGGGTGTGCCTTCCATCCATTTTTACCTCTGGAGCTCTCTTTACAGTTTATGACATGTAAAATAGGATTTAGTTTTAGGCAAACCGGGTCTGGCACTTAGATATCATATCCATCTTTGAAGAAAAAATATAAATTTGTGTCCATATGTGCCTTCCCCATTCTTGTCCATCAATCATGAAGCTTTCAGGAGGTTTTCCTGTGTAAATCAATTATCAATAGATTGAATATTGTGCCCATCATCTGGGTAAATCCTCTCTGTGCTGCTTCCTCTGGCACGTAAATTTTATGAGATCTTCATATTATGTAGTAATGTTCCAAACATATCACTCTCTGGTTAATAATAGAAAGTGAGTAAACAAAGATCAACAAATGTATAAAAACAAAAAAACAAAAAAATCTTAAACTTCATATGTTTATCATCACATTACTTCTCATACATACGTTAAGATAACATCAGTAACACAACTATTTAACTTTTGAATTAAGTTCTCAGCATTTTTTTTTTTAGTTTTTTTTTTTTTCAAGATTTGTTATATTCAAGAACTAACGTCATAATGTTATACATTTTTAGAGACTCAATGATTTTTCCTATCATATTTTAAGTTGGATAATGAAGAGAAAGGTGTAATGGTCGATAAGGAAACTCAAGTTATTGCATTTATGATAAATTTGGTTGGTCAACTTATTCACAAAGAGAATTTTATTTAAAATGACTTTTCAAGCTTTTTATGCAATTCCAGTTTAATAAAGACTTCTCTTTCTTAACCCAAACTTAAGACGAGTACGAAAAAATAAAGAATTAAATAATTAATTAACATTACCATGTTATTCTTCCATTGCATTTGAAGAAAATAAAAACCTGACCCTTTTGAAAATCAGTGGAGGCAGATATCGACGAATCCCGAAAGTACTGAAAAATGTTAAAGAATTGTTTGTTGTATTGCTCCAACATCATGGAATCACTTTTTTCTGCTATTTTGGGTTGAATTTTTGAACTTTGGATCTTTCTGCATAACCATGGCATTCCACATGATTGATGGTGCAGATAAGTTGTTTGTCTCTTGTGCTTCAGAGGATGAACCCTAACAAAGTCTCCCAAATGGTTTATGAAGATAGCACCACCAAATAATTTGTAGAGTAAAGAATGAGGACCACTACACTCTAATTTTCCCTCCCTTCTCAAATCAAATTCCATATGCTTTTGCTACCCATTTCATCAACAAAAGTACATAAAGAATTAGAAGCATGATTTTTTTATTAAAAGATGTAACATTAGATATAGTTAATACACTTTGATGTTTCTTTTAATAACCATTGCACCTACACCTAGGTCAATTATTAACAAAAATTAATTGAATACCCTCACCCATTTGCCAAAAACAACATAATTTTACATGCAACATGGTTTTTTACTTCTCTCATTATTATATATTTTGTTGTAACAAAGTTATAAATATTGTTGTAGCAAGCCTCGAGATGCAAAAACCATGTGCATCACTCTCACTTTAGTTTTACCACGAAACATTGGACCGAAAGATAATTTTAGGATCCATTGTTATAAATATTTTTTCACTTAATTTTTTATAAATATATTATGATAATAATAAATAATATATATATATATATATATATATCTAATTGTTGGATTATATAATATAATATATTAAAATATAATAATTTATGAAAATACAGGCATTAATACATTATTAAAAGAATGAATTTGTTAACAATGACTTTTAAGATTGATTTGAATAATTAAAAGCAAATATGTGTTTTGATAAAAACATTTATTATAATTTTATATTTTAATATGATGAATGTGAATGTCTTAACTATACATTATTTAATTTTTTTTATTTACACGTAAAATTTCAACTGGTATCTTGATTCACTTAAACTAATGTAAAATAATTTTGGTCAAATTTTTTAAGTAAAATAAAAATAGCATACTAATTAAGATATATATATATATATATCTATATTAGTTTAATTTAGTTTTTCATTAAATAGTCATTTGAATTAAATGTGTTTTACTTTATTTTATTCAATTTTGATTTAATAGAAAACTTAAAACAAATAAACTTTTGGTCTGAATTTTCAAACATTTTACTTTTTAAAAAATTTTGTTATTATGGAATTTTCAAACATTTTATTTATTTTTTAACTATGTTTACAATTATTAAATAATTTATAATAAAAAATGGTTAAATAGTAAAATATGTTATGAATTTTTGTTACGATGAATTTTCTATAATATAAACGAATTACATACTTTTAAGATTAAAAATTACAATTTGCTATTATGTTATGATAACTATATTTATATTATAAATAAATTAATCAAATCATAATTAAAAAATATTTATGTATATTTTTTAATTGGTAATTAAATTTAAATATGCAATATTATATTTAAATATAATTAAGCAGTTTAGTTAATTTGATTTATATTTTTTTAATTTAAAATTCTAACAAAATTATGGGATTTAAAAAGTAAATAAATAAATAAATAATAAAATAATTGCTATTTTAATTTTTCTAATTTTTAAATCGATTCAATTTTTAACATTTTTTTTAAAGTAGATATTGTCTAATTAATTTAATGGTTAAAAAAAAGTTATCATATATTAATATTTATATCTAAAAATATAATGTCAGAGAAGTAGAAATAAGTGGTGAAATACAACATCTATAAAAATTAATAATAAAATAAAATAAAATAGTAATCTATCATTATTAGTATTTTATTAAATAAATAAAGTGAACATTTCTTAAGTAAAAATAATAGTAAAGTCTTATCTTATGAATGCACAGAGAGTACAAAAGTGAAAAATATATAATAAATTTGTATCTTACGTAAAAAGTAAAACAAAAATTTAATAAATGGTTTTATTATGAAAAATAAATATAAAAGGATAATAATTATAATTCAACGTTTTAAAAATAATACAATTAGAAGAAAATGTTAGAAATTATTAAAAAGTTGATTTATCAAATACTGTACCAACAAGATCAATTTTCAATTAACAGTGAAATATAACTAAAAGTACTGAAATCATTCCAAATATTAATTTTAACAAAAAAAATGAAAGACCTATTTTCTTACCTTCTTAAAAATGGTTAAGCAATTTTTAATTTTTTAACAAAAATACTGTTTGGTTAATCAATTTTTAACAAGTGTTTTTTAAGAAAAGTAATAATAAATAACAAATGTAAAACTTATCAATATGATTAAATTAAAATGATAATGTCCTTAACCCAAATAAAAAAATAAAATATTTATTACAATAAAGTTGAATTTAAATTTTTAAAATAAAAAATTGAAATTTAGACCCTTTGCCTAATGTCACGATCCCATAATGAAACAGCTCTGCCATCTGTGGAAAACATCTTCCACTTTCTGGCACAAGTTTCGTCACCAAATAGACCTGTCCCAACCCTTCACACTGTTCACCATTTATCAAAATCAATTTCCAAAATCTTGTAACAGAGGATAATTTCCAAAATCTATGCATCAACAACTTTAGAAAGCTTTTTGTTAATTTCTTTTCTAATTTTGTTCTACTTTCTCAAGATTTTGTTTACCATTTTTGTTTTTGGTTTTACCAAGTCCATTTGCACAACACAAGTCATATGTTTCTAGAATGCAAAAGTTAAGACAATGTCCCGTTACACACCTTTGTTTGACTTACCATATTTACACCCAATCTGCGTATGTAATTAAGAAGATTGAAGAAAGTACAGAGATAATAAATGACGAGTTACTCATAACATCACTTCACACACAGCTCACCCACTCCACGGTGCCTCACTGGTGGCGCCACCAACCACCTTCGCCCTACATGAGTAAAATCCTATAGAAAGATGAAGCATTCTAATGACACAAATGGATTCTCCAGTGACTCGCTGCCAGAAACGCATTTCCTTGTGGACGCTGAATTCTCCTTCTTCCAGCAACCGTTCTCCGCCGTGCTGGTTCTTACCCTTGTCGGGCACCGGTTAGTTTTTCTCACAGAAGGGCTACGACCCACGGCGGACCTACATCCTCCTATGCCGGCACCCGTGGACGGCGACCTTGACTGCCGTAAAGGTTTCTCGGTGGGATCTCGCCGACGACGAGTTCCGCCGTTGCCTGTTTTCTGAGCCGTTTGGTCTCTGCACTGGACCAGCCTCACAGACCCAACATTGTTCCTTGGACCATGCACTGTTCTCTCTCTTCTATCACCGGGAAAGGAACCATTTTTGTGCAGTTTGGCCTGAGATCGATCGACCCTTTTGCGCGTTTCTTCTCTGTGATCGGTGATTGAAGTAGTTGTGGAGACGGTTTCGCTCAAGCTGCAAACTTCTTCCAAGGGGTATTCGGCTTTGTAAATGGACAATGGCTGTTTCTCAACCTTGCTTTGCTCCTCTTTGAACTTGTTTTGGGGCGGCTTTTGAGGTTTCGGTTTGGCAAAGTTTGTTGGGTTCCATTTTGGGGCTTCCAGGAGCACCTGCTTCACTGTCTCACTCTCTTCTTCTATTGCTCTGCTGCTTTCTAAAGACTTTTCTCGGATAGTAAGAGGTTTTGGTGAGCCATGAAACTTTCTCAGTGGCGAGGTGGAGGTTTTGCGACTAGAACTCACACAACAACCCATTATCACGTTGGAATTCTTGCAGAACTTGATACCAAGTGGTTGGTTTCATTCAAAGTAGAAACATGGTAGAGGGGAAGGCTGAAACTTTGTTTGGGGTTTCCATGAGTGAGGTTGTACAAGCACAGCTAAGAGTATTAGTTAAGGAAGAGAGAGTGAAGTGTCGGGGTGAAAAAGGGAGGGTGCATTTATTGTGGGGATAAGTAAAACATTTTTCACCAAAAGACAAGAAACAATGAGGAAAAGTTAAGATGCAGATGAATTAAAGGTAGATTCATTCAGGCAACAAATTAACGAACTGTCTTGTAATGGATTAGGCATGGGGTGGCGATTGTGTCGTATTGTGTGTGATATTCGTCCCTGTTCTGATGAAAGTGTACATAAATATTGGAAAAGGGTGAATAAAACCTCCTGCATCATATGATTGTCATATGGGGCTTGTGATCTATACCCCATCTCTGCCCTGCATTTTTTTTATTAGGTCCCGGGAATGTTGAGGTATGAGTCAAGTTCAGTGTTACTGGTTATTTGTTTAATCACAAACATGCGTGAGTAGAAGTTTTTAAGAACATTCTTAAAATAAAATAACATAATTTCACGTCGTTTTTCTTCATTTTTAAATTTTAAAACTATGGGTTTTATATATTGTTGATGATTGAATTGGTTTTAAGTTGAATTTTAATATGAATGAATTAGTTTTAGGATGAATTCTAACACAAATCAAATTATTTTATATTAAGATTTGATTACATTCGCTGTTTTAATTCTTTAATTTATCTATCTAGTTGTAGGTTAAAATTTATTTGTTATTTAAAAAATTCTGCATATTAATTGATATTAAAATAATATATTTAATAAAAATACAATCTAATCAAATTTTACTGAGGATGTATATTATATGAAGAGATAATCCCATACCTGCAACGTAAAATTTAAACTAAGAGTTTAGACTATACTAAAATTTAAATAATAAAAAGCAAATTATTTTAATACCATTTTTTACTCTTTTTTTTTAACAGACTTGGACATATAATAAGTAAAATAAAAAAAATTAAAAAATGTTCACTACAAAAAATTATTTATTAGTATATAGGTAAAAATGTAAGAAGGTAAGTATTTGTGTAAACAAGACTTAGGAGTGTAGTGATTACATATATTTAAATAGGTCCACTTTAATAAAAATTTCTTTAAATTCTAAAAATTTGAAAGTGAGACAAGATCATAAATACTATTATTCTTTTACTCAGATGAAATTAACATCAGACTAACCGATTAACTATACAATATATTTTTTTTTTTTTAAATTAGGAATTAGTGTGGATCTGATCGACTTGAAATATAAAATATAATTAAGTTTAATGAGTTAATATCAGTTACATAAACTCTAATAATAAAATATATTTAATTTTTAAATTTCTGAGTTAATATTTAATATGTTGACTCTAATAAAAGTATATTTATTACTTTTTTTTTTAATTTGTAGACAAGTTTAGACTCGGTGTAACCGATATTATTTAGTAAACGTTAAGGCTCGTTCTTTTGAAGGTAATTAAAAATATTTTTTAATGCATAAAAGAAAAAAAAGATTTTGTTTGTTTAAAATAATGTATTTTAAGTTGAATTTTAAAAAGATGTAGATAACATGAATAATTGTTTATTTATTTATTTATTTATTTTGTTTTTTAAATTACTTTACATTTAAACCCTTATGGGAATTATAAATTTAAAAATTTATAATTTACATATTAAAATATTTGATTATAATTAATAATTTAAATTTAACTTATTAGTATTTATAATTTCAAATATAATATTATCATATATTTATTTATATTTTAATTTAATATATAAATATTTTTTAGAAATTGATCATCCGATTCGTTTTATCCAAGTTCACCCATAATCCATTGAATTGACAAGTTTGACAAAATATATTTACAGACTCAAATTATCGATAAAAATCGTTGATGGATTGGTAAATCGAATTTAACATAGTTTGTCATTTTATTTAAAAATGATAAAATTTATCGAAGAATATTAAAAATATAAATTACAATAAATATTTTTTAAACAAAATTTGATCAATTTCAACATGTTAATTAAATCATACTTTAATTTCGAGTTAATGTGTTTTTTTTTAATAAATTAACATTAACACATGGTGGTGAGTTATCGTATGAGTAAAATTTATGTGCTACTAGAAGTAAGATGATAAGAACCATCATGAGTGATTAAGTGCATTGGATTCTTGGTGAAAGAAAACAACATGACTCATAAATACGATCCTCTTTATATAAAGGTTAAGGAGAATTTTTTTATTTGGTTGAATTAAAAAAAAATGATAAAAGTAAAGAAAAATTATTAACATAAAAAATATGAACACAAATACATAATTTTATTATTTAAATAGAAACAATTCTTCGATTGTAGGACTTACTCACCTTAAATGGTTGCGTCCTCATGTTATATTTTACTCTCATTAGTTACGAGTAATTTTTTACTTTTCTTTGAGTTAAAATATTGTTAATTATGAATATTTTGAAAGCAAAGAAATAAAATGAAAATGATAATATAAGAAGATAAAGTCAAATAAATAAAATCAGAGAACAAAATTTTAAATATTAATACTAAAGAACGAATAATGAATATTGCTACACTAGACAAATTAGGTTACATTATTTTGTTGTAACCATAGTTTTTCATGAAATATAGAAAGATAAAAATAAAATTCAATATACATAAAACTTAACCTGAGAAGAGTTATTTAGAGAAAGAAAATTAAGAATACAAAATTTTATTTTAATGTAAATTTTATAATCAGATTTATTTAAGATAGGTAAAAATTAATTCTGATTATAGGACCTATTTATGTATTTTATTTTAAGAATTTGTACGAGTTAGAAAGAAAATATAAAAAGGAGATTGACGGAGAGAAAAAAACAAATGGTTGGATAAATTAATCCAAATTCAAATTTGAATAAAAACATTAATTACAAAATTAGAAAGCAAAGATCCTATCAAATATGAAATTAAATTTCATCAAGTAAAAATCATGCACATTAAAACGACGTGTAAAATTTATATTTTCAATTTCCAACAGTCATAAATAATATTTTTATATTACTAAATAAATGTTAAATTAAAAATGGCCCTCGTCAAAAAGAAATCCCTGTTACGTGTTATTATTTTTATTTAAACTTTCGCGATACAAATACAACATAATTCGATAAGTATTGTCGGATTCTAAATAATATAAGTTGATTAGAACAATTAAATTATTATCAATTATATATTTGTATCAAGTTATGAAATTAAAAAAATCCTCTTATTATAATTATATAGAATTATAGAATAAGCAGTGAAGAGGCATAAAAGTAACCATGGTGGTCCATGGTGGTGGACCCAAGAATCCGCATTTTTTATTCTTTTAATTGAAAGAGTATTTGAACCAACGTTCAAACCAAAACCAGTGTCAGTGTTGGTGTTGTTGTAGTAGTTGAGAGCTCTTACTTTTTGGAAAGGAGAACAAAGCAGCAGAACAGAGTGTGTCTGTGTCCATCTCTATGCACTTTGGACAACGGGAACCATATCTTCTTTTTTCACACTCCACACCCATCTTCTACACTTGCCTCATTTCCACTTTATTTGCCTCTGATTGCCAAAGGGTATGTTTCCTTTCTCACAGTTACTCTCATTCTCATCAAAGTCTGTGCCTTTGTCTTACTCTGTTGTTTTGATTTTCAATTCTGATTTTAGTAACGTTTTTTAGACTTGTGTATCTGAAGGCAGTGGAAAAGGTGCTGTTAGTTGAAAACAGTTTCTTTGGACGAAATGGGTCGTTGGAATTCAGACTTGAATTTGCACATTTGTAAATGTATCTTTTCAATGTTGATTTTCTGTGCAACTTTCTGCGTTGGGGACACTGATCCACTTGATGGTATAGTATAATTCAGGGTTCTGATTCTGTAAATTCGTTTCTAATTTTATGGCGCTCTGTTTTGCTGAGACTAAATCATCATCCATATTCTCTTTGCATGTGTTAGCTCAACGTTTTCTTTTGCTGTGATTATTGTTCACAGTTGCGGCAATCAATAGTTTGTATGTGGCTCTTGGCTCACCACCCCTTGAGGGGTGGAAAGCTATAGGAGGAGATCCATGCTTGGAGGAATGGCAAGGTGTGAGTTGTGTCTTCTCCAACATAACTGCTTTGTATGTCTCTCCTCACTTAAACTATTGTTGGTTGCTTAGTCTTGTTTTGTGCGCTATTTTCTTAAAAACTACATTATTTTATCTTTTATGTGGTGTTTTTCAATTGTTTAATTGATGAAGGTGAATGTTAATCCCTTGGGATATGGCTCTCTAAAATTTGTGTTTGGGTTTACAGACGACTGGGAGGCATGAATCTAAGTGGACAACTGGGAAGTAATTTGGATTTCCCATCCATTATAGAATTGTAAGTGTGCTTGATCTGTCAAGAAAGCGGTGAATGTCATTTGCATTTCTTTTAAAACCACGAATTCAGTATTATCTATTTGAATGACGTAATCTACCTTGTCGTTTTTGTTTTTAATTTTTCCCTTGGTAACCATTGAAATTCTGAAGTTTTGTAAGCCAAACTCCCCTATGTTCAAACTCCAAATTCACTGGGTTATAGGGGAGCCAAATTTTTGTGTTGGTTATTACTTATTATAACTCTTCACTAAGAAGAAATAAATTTGTTTTGGATTTCATGATCTTACATATTGCATATTGAAAGTTGTTGCATTTCTTTTATATACTACTTTGTTTTGGTTCTGTAATTGTGCTAACATTTGCATGAAAATCTCAAGAAGCTTTCTATTCCTCAATTGGGCAGGGATCTTAGCAACAACCAGATTGGAGGGGCCATTCCATCCACTTTGTCCCCTACTTTGAGGAACTTGTAATAAGTTTTCTTTAATCACCAAATTTGTGACTTGTTTTATTATACTGGCAATTGAATAAATAAATTGAATTAATATCCATAACTATGAGTATCCTTATGCTAGTTTCTGTTTTTCTTTTTATGAATTTAGGTCACTTTCAGCTAATCAATTAAATGGAAGCATTCCAGATGCCTTATCCTCATTAACTCAATTGTCAGACTTGTGAGTTTATAGGATTTCCTTGTCTCCATGCTAAGTTATATTTTTTCCATAATCTGTTGATTCATTTTGAATGAGAATATACTGCCACCTTTAGGTCATTGAAAGATAACCATCTGAATGGACAAATTCCAGATGCATTCCCACAGCTCACTGGTTTGATGAATATGTAAGAAAATGTAGTTAGATCACATTGATATTTTAGTGTCTTTATTTTGTCCAACGTGACAAAAATCCTGCGCCTTGCTGCAGGGATCTGTCAGGCAACAACTTGAGTGGTCAGCTGCCTCCCTCAATGGGGAATTTGTCATCTCTGGTCACATTGTGAGTATCACACTTAGCAAGTAAGAGGTTATATTTTCCTACTTGTTAAATAAAATGAACTCATGTTTTAAAATTTTATTTATTTTGCAGACATTTGCAGCACAATCAACTTTCTGGGACCCTATTTGTTTTGCAGGACCTCCCCCTTCAGGATCTGTATATTTCTCAGGAACCATAATCTCTTTATAGGCTTAGAAATGAGTCAAATGACTGTTGTCTGTACCAAGCCACTATTTATGCTTAGGAAGTTTAAAGTGATTTTAAGCTAAACTGTGAATTTATAATGATGTAGGAACATCGAGAACAATATATTCTCTGGGCCAATTCCTCCGGAGTTGTTGAGTATGCCTAATTTCAGGTGAGTCATGACTTACACATGAGCATTCTTTTTTCCGCTATAACATACTTTTTCTTAGCCAAACTCCTTCCTTTATCTGGCTATATTGAAGCCTTTGTTCAAGTATTATTATTTTGACCTTCAAGGAGATGTTACATTGGAAATTTTCTACTTCAGTTATATATCTGTAAAATATAAAGCCATGTGCAAAGATTATCCTTTTCCAGATTATTGAAGCATTTTAATTTTGGCTTAGTTTCTTTCCATAAGGCCTTCAGGTAAAATAAAACCATTACCAGATCTTTCATACAAGTTAGTTATAGTAGCATTTACCTTGCAGAAAAGATGGGAATCCGTTTAATACTACTGTCATTCCATCACCTCCAGCTGCTTCCCCTGCACCCGTTGCTATGGCTCCTTCCCCAGAAAAATCACCTTGGAAAGTGGCAAATAATCCCTCTGCTACCACCATAAAAGCACCAATACCTGCAATTGCTGAGAGGTCTTTCAAAACTAAGAAATTAGTTTGGATTGTTGCTGCAGGCTTTTTATTATTCATTGCATTAGGAGTTTGTCTTCTAATGTTGTGGTGCTTTAAGAGAAGATCAGAGAATAAGAGCTATAAGAAACACAACATGAATGTGTATAAAAGATCTTTGCATAAATATACAAGCAATGACTCCCCTTTTGAAGCAACTGATGATGAGAAGAAAGGTAAATCTGATGATGAATCTTCTATTCTTTTAGTGTGTTACCTGTTGTAATATATAACTTCTTAAGCTCTATTTGTACTTCAAAATCAAACTCAATATGGAGTGTCAAATAGAAGAACCAAATTGATTCCAAAGTTGCAGGATGAACAAGAAGTAGATGTCAAAAGAATTTCTTCAAATTAAGAATGCAATAATGTATTAAAAATTGCAGGATGGTGTTCCAAACTTCCCCCACTGCAGCCAGCACCACCACATCAACTCCCAATCATTCCTGGAGAGAATTTACTCATCAATCGAACTATATCTGGCAATGCAACCAAAAGACAAATTGTAACAAATTTCATCCAAGTTTATACTGTTTCATCTCTTCAGCAGTACACAAATAGTTTTTCCCAAGAAAATTATATTGGGGAAGGCATGCTTGGGCCTGTTTATAGAGCTGAACTCCCAGATGGAAAGGTAACGTTCTTCTAATTTATCATAATTGGGCATTCTCTTATGTGGATTTCTTTTCAAACGTGGTCATGATTTCAATGGAGGGAAAGGGAAGAAGGGTTAAAATATCAATTTGAATTAATTTTTTTATTTAAACATTATTTAAAATTAAAGGAAAAAACCAGATATTTGTTCATCTTTTTTGCTCCCTCTTTGAACAGTATTTCTTTTCCTATACTGCCCTTAATAAATTAAGAAGATTATTTTCAAGTTTAAACTTCTATTCTTTCCCTCTCAATGTCTTAATAGAGCAATGCTTGCAGATGCTTCGTAGTTAGTTCAATCTTCGATTGGCTCAAAGATACGTCGCAGTTGCATACTCACAGACATTAATTTGTGTTATCAATTTGATTCTTTGTGATATTTGCAGATTTTTTTCTATTTCCTAGGTTCATTTATTCAACTGGAGCTTCATATGCTTATATCTTTCAAATTGTCTTCTTTGTAGTCACTGGCAATTAGAAAGCTGAATGCTTCTGCTTCTGCTTCCATGGGACAAAATCACGAGCAGTTTCTTCAATTAGCTTCCAGTATCTCCAAAATTCAACATGCCAATATTGTAAAGCTTATGGGCTACTGTTCTGAGTATAGCCAACGACTACTTGTATATGAGTATTGCAGTAATGGCACCCTTCGTGATGCATTGCATACAGATGATAAACTTCAGATTAAACTTTCATGGGATGATCGCATTCAAGTGTCACTTGGAGCAGCAAGAGCTTTAGAGTAAGTTTGGCATTTAGTCACAAAAGCATGAACTCTTTCATGTAACTAGATAACTCCATATTGTTAGTGAACAATGCTTGTCTTTTCTGGAGGTTGGAAACATATTTTATGTCTAGTATTAATGATAATATCTGAAGTCATGCAATATATACAATCCTTGCAAGGTGGTTTTTAAGAATATAGATAGAAATTGGATCCCATATCCACATATAAAGAGGTTACGTTTTAGACTATTAACAATAGGTTAAGGTCGTGTTGTGATTTTCTTAACAGCATTAATTTTGATCATCTCCTTTCTTCTCATGATTTAGGTATTTGCATGATTACTTTCAGCCACCCATTGTGCACCGAAACTTCACCTCTGCTAATATACTCCTTAATGACAAGTTGGAAGTGAAGGTCTCTGACTGTGGATTAGGTTCTTTACTATCTTCAGGCTCTTCTAGTAAGGTAACTCGTCAGCTTTAATATTTTTTCACTTAATTTTCAAACTGATACATAGTTTGGAGATTTGAGTTCTTAATTCTTTTGTGCTTTTTGTATATGCCTTGTGACATTCTTGGATTTCTACTAAACACGATGGAATAAAGATGAAAGGATAGGAACAGGTGGTTGGATTTTGTTTTATGTTTATAAATCAGACTTCTAAATGATAGAAGAAATAAGATTCAGTTATTGGCCAATGACAGTTATTGTAATTTCAACTGTTGATTTGTTAACCAACAACTATGACGTTATCTTTTCCCTCTAAACTAAGTGAGGATGCACTTTAGAGGAGCCAAATCCCAATAAGTGCTTTCTTGAGGCCTCTGGCATGCACAAATTCTTGAATGGGTCGACCTCCCCTTCCCCTTAGATTTGCATGCACCTAAAAAACAGATGCAGTTATTAAACTTGTTTGAGGGTGAAAGGATCAAAGAAACATTGTTCATCCCACACCCTCAATGGCTGCTAACTAAATTTGGGTTTAAAGTTAGGTTAAGCCTAGATCAAAAGAATGATTGTTTTGTTCCACAAGTTATACGAAGGATCCAATTCCTGAAAATTCACAAGTATGCGTATGAGGGGTGTTATCTTTGTAAGATAGCTCACAGCAGCTACTAGAGGTTAACTTTTCTCCTTTTTTGTTGCATTTCTGGCTAACACTGGTGCATCTTATTTTTAGTTTTCGGGACACCAACTCACAGCTAATGGTTATAGTGCTCCAGAATATGAGTATGGAAGTTATACACTGCAAAGTGATGTCTTTAGCTTTGGAGTTGTAATGCTTGAACTCCTGACTGGACGAAAATCCTATGACAGGTTAGAAATCCTTTTAGTGAAGGAGATTAAATACTCGTGTTCAATAAAGTTGTAATCGAAGTGTTGGATTTGGCTAAGGCACCATTAATTATGTGTATATAGCTCACTGCCACGTGGAGAGCAGTTTTTGGTGAAATGGGCAGTCCCTCAACTCCATGACATAGATGCATTGTCAAAAATGGTTGACCCCTCTTTAAATGGAGAGTATCCTAAGAAATCATTGTCACGTTTTGCAGACATTATTTCTTCATGTATACAGGTAATTTTTTGTCTACTTTTATTCCAAATCCAATAAGAGATGTTGGAGTCTCATGATTCATTGCACAAATGTAATCTTCAATAATTACATTTTGGCCTTGCCATTTGTAGTCTTCAAATTCTCAGTTTTTTAGTTTAATTGGAAATGTGCTAGCCATAACATTAAGTTTCAAAATACTAAGACCTTTGAAGGAATATGGTCCAGAATTAGAACTATATACCTCAATATTTTCGTCATTTCATATGTTCTATATCTACTCTCTCTATCTATGGCAATGATAATCAGTATCTTTATCTGGGTTGTAGTTACCATTTACAAGTTCTTTCTATGTGATGATATGATATGATATCACTTTTCTTCCAGCATGAACCTGAGTTTCGACCAGCTATGTCAGAAATTGTTCAGGATCTCTTGCGAATGATGTAGAGGGTGGTGTAGCTGTTAATGAGGTGATGAAGTGCCTCAGCTAGTAAAAGAAGCCATGGTTACCAATTTTTCTGGATGTTACATATTCATTCTTTTATTTTATTTTATTTTTCAATTGACATAAATCGTTCTGTAATTGTGAATTGTGCTTATTGATGTGATATACTCAATAATACGCAATACATAATTTAAGACCTCTGTTAAGATATATGCATTAGATATACTCGATAATTTTCTCTTACTGAAACTAATAAATAACAATGGTAACATAATCAAGAGGTTAGAATATAAAACATACACTTTTTTGTAATTCAATGGCATTCTAGTTTGTATGTTTCTTAACTTGCATTTGATGTTTATGTGGTACCATTGAAAAGTTTTTCTAGGGTTGATTTTGAGTTTGAGTGGTAAGGAAAAAAAATGAGAACGATTTGTGAGGTTAGTAGCAATACTTAATGATTCTGGACTTTTCCTTTTGCAATGATAAATTGTTTTTTAACTAAAAAAAGAATGCACTCAAGTCTTGATTTTTATGTGTTATTAGAATATTTGACGCCAAAGTTTTTTAATTAGAACACTATGTCTTGAATGCATGACGCTTAGGGCAAACGAATATACCAAATTTGTTATACATAGACGAAAAATGATCATGGCAGTACATTTAATATTGTCAAATTGACATTAATCTGATTAAAAATATGAAAAGTTGTCTATTTTATTTTCTTTAATATAAAAATAATATTTAGAGATTAAGGTTTAGAATTCCCCCCCCCCACACACACACACACACATATATATATATATATATAATATTATGAAAATAGACTATCACATTCACAAATATAATATTTTTTTAAGAAATTGTGCTTTGCAAGCAAGACTTTTTTTCAAAATTCAATTATATTTACTTTTTTTTTTAAAACTAAATTTAAAATCTAAAATTATTTTTTAAAACAAAGATTACTATTATTGTTTTAATTGTTGTTACTGTAATAATTATTTTATTTTGTAATATTTAGGATAATTTTGATTTTGATCTTTAAATTTTAAAAATATTGTTTTAATTCTTCAAAATTTAAAATAAATAAATATTTTAATTTATTAACATTGAATTTGGAGAATAAAAAAACCTCAAATAAACTTTTAAATCATAAATCCTAATACTAAATTTTAAATCTTGAATGATACTAACCTTTAGTATAAACGAAATATTTATCTCCCTTAAAATCTAATAGAATGAGAATCATATTTTCTTAGTTAAATATTATTTAACTAAAGAATTGTTTTAAAATATAACAACTAAAGAATTGTTTGTAAAAAAATTGAAAAATTTACAATACCTAAAAAAAAATATTATTATCACTCAATTATAAATTATTTTAAAAAAATTACAAATATAGTTTTTTTGAAAAAAATTATTTTAATATAAAAATAATTAAATAGTTATAAAATATATGATTAAAGTTTTTAATTTATTATTATATTTAAATATTATTTAGTAAAATTTTAAATATGTTTTAAACGAATTTTTTTAATACAAATCAAATAAGGAGTACGTGAGTTATCTTATTAATCGTAAGGATGTAAATATTTAAAAATTAGAAAAAAAATTGATTGTTATTTAAAAAAAAAAACTAAAGGGTGTACATAATTTTTTTCACAATTAAATTATTCAATTTTTTCTAAATCTATAAATTTTTAATTTTTATTTTGAGATTTTTATTTTTAATAAATTTTTAAGCTAATATGCCTTAAAATAAATTAAAGAATATATGTGATATTTTATTAAAAGTGAGATATAAAATTTTATAGAAAAAGAAATAAATTTTATCTTATTAAAATATAAAAGATATATTTAAAAAAAATTAAAATATGATTCTCATTTTATTAAAAACTTAACAAAATAAATATTCATTTTAAAATTTAAAAATAGGCTCATTTGATTAATTGTGCGAAAGATGTAGGTGAATTTTAATGACAAATTCATAATATAAAATTAAATAATATTTTTAAGATTTAAGAATATTTCTAATTATAAACTATAGCTATATTTTATTTATCTATGAAATATAGTTATATTTTATTTTGACTTTCAAATTTTTTCTTTATCTGCTAAAAATATTTTTAATTACTCTTTGTGTTTTTGTTTTTGTTTTTGTAAAATAGATTTTGTATCCTTGTAATAATTAATCGATCATTTACTTTGAATTCTTATAATGTATTTTATAAAGGAAGTAATTTTGAACAAAATATTGTATGATACCAACCTCTATACATATTAAAAAGACTGAAACAAAATAATACAACTATATTTTAAGAAAAAAACATATTAAAGTATATTTTAATTACTTAACCAATAAAAGTAATTGTTTTTTTATGTTTAACACTTATTAAACATTTTATAAGTAATATTTGTATATTTTAAACTTAGAATATACAAATAAATTTGCAAGCAATATTTGTTAATAGTACTGATTCAAACTCCAAGCAATACTGGTTGAGGGATGTTCATGGAACTGGAAAAGAGAGATCTTGTCTCTTCATTTTGAAGGAAACGGAGATGTGCATTTCCTTCCAAAATGGACAGAATCAAACAATGGATTATGTGAAGATGGAAAAGAGGGGGCTTTTGGTAAATTGAGAACTGCAACTGCTATATAAAGGGTATTTTGGTCCGAACAGTGAACAATGGTATGAGTTCGGGTGAGAACTGCTTTTCTTTAAAGACATCCCCACAGAAACAGAGAAGATGACAACAATATTGAAAGACTATCATTAAATAACAATAAAAAAAGTTTATTTCTGACTGTTGAATGTTTGTTGTTATTCTTCTTTTTTGTTGGTTTATGAGAGTAGTTCCCTCTGCTAAAACTGATCATGATAAATTTGTCAGTTTGGTTCAGAAGAAGCTGATCCAACTCCTCATTTACTTCATTTGTGGGGAAAGGAACTTCATTTTTGCATCACAAGTTGCCTTGCATTTCCTCAAAAACACTAATGGCAAAGACAGGATACAAACTACGTATCCTTTGTTGTTTTTGTTTCTCCTTTTGATTATGTCTGCGCCTCAGAAAATGTTTTCTGGTTCCCCCATTAAGGTTGTTGTTACCAGTGACTTAGTTTCTGTTGAAATGTGGGTTACTTGTGTTCTTGGAACTTCCAAATTGTTTTCTTTTTAATGGTACATTGTTGGAGGAGGCAAGGTAAGGTGTATGTTTTTTGTTAGCATTAGGGAATGCAAATATTGGATGCTCATCAGCACATTGGAACTTACGGTAAAAAGTTCATAAATTTGTAGGTTATTTTCCCTTGTTTTAATGTTGTGTGAGTGTTGTGCTAGAAGACGAAGGAAGAAATGTTTAGTAATGGTTTTGTTTCAAATGCTGATTTTGTAATTTATTGCGCTCTTCAATAGTATCTTTTTTCAATATTAGTCTGTTATTCAGTCTATGGAGTGTAGATTTTTGGTTGTTTTGATAATGTGCTTTCCTGAGCCAGTCAACTGTAGAGGAATTTGTGGCTCATTCAGGGAATGTAAACTGTTTAAAAATTGGAAGGAAGGCGAGCCGGGTTTTCATTACAGGTGGGGATGATCACAATGTCAATCTATGGATGATTGGAAAAGCATCCTCTTTAATGGTCAGTTGATTGTTGCCTTTGTGTTTTACCATTTTGATTGCAATATGATTAAGGAAGGAATCAGGATTGTTAAGCAGTAATGAAGATATATTTCTTATGTGCACTTTGTAGAAACTTGCAGGTTATGTTATTGTAATGGTAGTGACTGAAGCATTATTGCTCTGACTGAGGATTTGGTTTCAGTTCATATTAATTGATAAGCTTAAATTTAGACTGAAACTGGCATGGCAAAAAAATAATGGAGTGTAATAGGAAGCAAGATTTTTACTTAAGTAATATACAAACTCATTTACCAAAATCAGGATCCTTTAAATCTATTTACCAATATCACTTTTTGCCATGTCATCTTGTACGTATTTTGTGGGATTCAAGTATGGTGTGGGCATGTGGGATTGTACTAAGTACATTGATACAATCCAGTGAGCTGGTGTCAGCTTAGTTGACAACCAACACACCTAAGTTACTAGGTAGCAAAGTAGCAGAAACATATGCAGCTGGCAAAATTTTATTTTCACCTAAACAGCTACTTTTCTTAATGGCCAATTCAATGACCATTATACAAGTTTAATGCCAACATTGTTTTTCCTCACATAACTAGAAAGTTGCAAATGAGAATTTTGAATCCAAACAAGATGAATGAACATTGACCTGTATGATCTCAAACGTGCAAGTAGTGAAAAGTGAATAAAGTTCTTGAGAATAAACTGATCTTTAAGCCTGAAAGTCTTATATCCTTGAAATATTGAATGTCGGGTTTGTTTTCTGTTAGAGTTTGGCAATCCGCACAGATTTCATGGTAGTTATCTAGGCCTGCATTATTATTTTCTGGTGATTCCAAAAACACTCTTATCTTCCTTCTTATGCAGTCCCAGAATAAACCAGAGTTTGAAACTCTCTGAAATCTGAAAACTTTCTAGCATCCATAGATCATTGTAATCTATAATTTTCTCTGCTTGCATTCCCTTTGTGACATGGGTTGGATTTTCTTATAAAAGCAGCAGAACCATGCAGAGTTTTAAACCTAACAGTGCTATCGTATTGTAAATATATGCAGAGTTTGTGTGGTCACACTAGTTCAGTAGAATCTTTGACTTTTGACTCAGCGGAATTGTTGGTTCTTTCTGGAGCATCGTCAGGAGTTATAAAACTTTGGGATTTGGAGAAAGCAAAAAGTAAGTTAATTAGTATATTTTGAATCCGGGGACTTCATACTGTATAATGATGTTATTTATAGGGCATCAGACTTTTATGCTAGAAAAGAAGTGCAAACTTTCTGATCATAAACAGGCAATTATTTGATTAAAGAACTGAGTTACACTATCTACTTTGCATGGATGCATGGGATGATATTGGCATCTACAATATCTATTATCAGTCCATGTTAAGTTTTTTTGAATAGTTGGGTGAAATGCAATGTTCATGTTTACCAATTTATCTATACCCCACTAATATGTGTGCAATTGTTCTTAAAGTATAGTGGTTCGCACTCTTACTGGACACAGATCTAATTGCACTGCTGTTGAGTTTCATCCATTTGGGGACTTTTTTGCATCCGGCTCCTCAGACCTTAATCTAAATATTTGGGATATCCGAAAAAAAGGATGCATTCATACATACAAGGGTCATAACCAGGGCATCAGTACTATCAAATTCAGTCCAGATGGCCGTTGGGTTGTTTCTGGTGGATTTGATAATCTTGTGAAGGTAATTGCATGAAGTTTGTAGTGGCAGACCTTATAATTGTATAACTCTTACTACTGTTCTATGAATAAAAGTTACATTTCTAACTTATCAATGTACAGATCTGGGATCTAACAGGTGGAAAGGTCTTGCATGACTTCAAGTTCCATGAAGGACACATTAGGTCCCTAGATTTCCATCCTCTTGAGTTTCTTCTGGCTACAGGTGAGGCTGTGTGCCTTAGAGCATCTTGGAGTGCTAGATAATCATGCATCTGCGAAAAAGAATTAAGTTCCTTGTTTCAAAATTATAATGTTGTTTCAAGTGCACTAAATGATGATTTACTAAGGTTAGATGGTTTTTCAAACTTGATGGAAATTCATGCAACGCTTCCCAAACCTAAAACATATCCTTCAATCGGCAATTCTTTCTATAATAATTTTTACACATAGTTTCAGACCACTTATCCAAACATGCAATGATGCATAGCTATTACTTTACTTCAATCTTCACATTGCTGAACTGTCATTATTTTATTATCATTTGTCAATTATCGGTATCACTGCTCCTGAACTTTTGTTAGGTTACATGAACATAATCCACCTCTATAGAATGTAGATGAATTTGTCATATACGTAAATTTACACTCTCTTGTCTTGGTTTATTGAACCATGACTTGACCTTAATGTACGCTTTTAGTTTGACCAAAGCATTTATATTGAAATCATTCATAAAGTTCATAAATTGTTATTCGGCAAAAAAAGAAAAAGAAAAGAAGAGTTCATAATTTGATTTGCAGGTTCGGAAGACAGAACAGTGAAATTTTGGGATTTAGAAACCTTTGAACTGATTGGATCTACTAGACATGAGGTATCTAATCTTGCTAAAGCATTTTTCTTCTGTTTGAAAGGAATCAGTAATACCAAATTATAAATCATAAACTCCGCTTCCAAGTCTAGTTTTATACCACTACTATCCTTCATGGAAAGTGGAAACTCTTAGATAACCTTTTCAACGGATAACATGCTTGACACATTTTTTACCAGTTTGCCATGGCATTGTTGTGGGTGGTTTCTAAATACTAAATGATTAGTTTAGTTGTGACCAAAAATATTTCCCCAATTTTTTTGTACTCTTCAAACATCAAAGTTAATATGTTTCTGTAACTTGAAATTTCTAGTGTATCGTGCCGTGTTGTTAATTCTACAGATGCATAAAATGTTAATGTGTTTTGTGTTTTAAGCCATATTCTGTGATGTAACTTAGTCACAATTGTAGTATGGTAGGTGTAGTCTGTTGATTCTTTCTCCTAATGTAAACCTGTATATTTATTTCCAAGATGCATGCACATGCACAGACCACAATAATTTATACAAAATACTAGTCTCTAATAAGTTTAAATTACCTTGTATTAGGTTTCAGGGATACGCTCAATAGCTTTTCATCCTGATGGACGGACCCTATTTGCTGGACTTGAGGATAGTTTTAAGGTACTGATTGTTTTTTCCAATAGTTAGATTATAATGATAAACAAGTTGAACAGGTTAAAGATATCATATCTTGTTCTCTATATTGTAGGTGTATTCATGGGAACCTGTCATATGCCATGATGCTGTTGACATGGAATGGACAACACTTGGTGACCTATGTATTCATGATGGGAAGCTTTTGGGTTGCTCATTCTACAGTAATTCTGTTGGAGTATGGGTGTCAGATGTTTCAGTACGATTCTCACTCTCAATATATATAAATATGTATATATTTGTTTATCAATTTTGAAACCTGGGCTCTATGTTAATTGTATTTAGCTAAAAAGTATGATTGTAGAATTGCTACTATGTGGCTGGCTGGCTGCTGTTATGAACTATACGATGTTAATTGCTAATTTTAAATGCAAAGCCTCCATTTCCTGCTGTACCTATGTCAACAATGAATGTCATGACTAAATGGCATCCATATTAGTCTGTGAACAACAATAAACTAATTTTTTGAGATGCATTTCCTACATAATTATTCTCTGTTGACTATCATTCTGATTGTTATTTTTAATGCATCAGCTTATCAAGCCATATGGTGGTGGCTTGGAAACTGAGAAAAAAGAAAGCACAGAGCAGAAGCTTAGCCTCCATGGAAGACAAATGGAGAAAGTAGAAGCCGGTGTGGGACCGACTTTTGGGTTGTGTGGTGTGTCTCCTGACAATGACTCAAAAGACATAAAGAATATATATATAGACTGTAAGCGACAGATCTTCTTGTCTCCCTTTGATATTACACATGGCTTCATCAAAATTATGAATGAATTAAGCTTTCAAAGTAAAGTTTGCGCCATAACTTTAGAGGAGCTTTTTAGCAAGATTATATGCATTTCCCATGTTTTTTGTAATTCTGAGTACTGTCCACTAATGTATTGAAGAACAATTTTTTATTTTTTTTGCATATAAAGCTTCTGGAGGGAACCCTGATACCTTACTAAGATCCAGGTCGTATAATTCTCCAAAAGTGGATATTCCTGAGGAATCTAAAGAAATGATAAACTGGATTTCTGAAACAGGAATTCGTGCAAAACCAACTGAACAAGCTCTTAGAAAGTCTTGCATTGTGTCAAACATTGTACGTCAGGACATTCTCAATGGTAAGAACTCAACAACCTTTTCGAATACGTGACATATTTGCTTGGTATTTCTGACTTAAATCTCCTGAAAAAATAATGAATAAACTGTTAGACAACACTCTCAAGTCTTGACAGATAAACTCTTATATGGGTGTTAATGAAGTGTGATTCTGACATTTAACTTTGTCGATATTTTAGTTCTACTTTTTTGAAAAACTTGGCATGCCATGTGTATTAGGTGATTAATATGGGAAAATACCATATGCTCATCCATGATTAATATTTTTATCATCTTTCAGGTTATCAATCCTCTTCTTACAGCAAAGCCATTACTCCGGTTAAATATGCCAATGAAGGTTTGCCATTGCCCATAAATGTAGTTTTATGCATTGAGAAAGCCCATGGAAACTGAATATTATAAAATTCTACTTTGGCAGTTGCTGTTGTACAAGGAAGAACACGTTCTTTAGTTGAGAGGTTTGAAAGAAAGGAAATAACTCCAACCAACGAGGATCGAGATAATGCAACTCCCACGACAATATTTGAAAAGAGGGAAATTTTTCTCAAAGAAGATCAAACTAATTCATCCCCCCTCACCACCACAACAACATCAGAGAAGGGGGAAAGAATTCCTTTCAGTGTAGATCAAAATATGCCCAATGTCCCCAGCACAACCAGTGAAACTGATAAGTCTACTAACTTATTGGTAAAATTCTAGCCTTTATGGAACTCTAGATTCGGGCATCTTCTATCTAGCTTAATATTTTTGGCCAAAACCTTATTTGTAGTGATCTACTTTATGACTTATAAGAAAGAGGCCAATTCAATTGAAATAGGATGCTAGACTGAAAATGCATGTATCTGTGGCTTATGTTTTCTCCCTTAGTTTAGGCATGTTCGGTGGAAGGGTCTCTCACTGGAAAAGAAAGGAAATTGTTCATAGGTTTGGACATCCGTCTGACCCAAACATGCAAACCATCTATTTTCATTTCTATTTAAATCTTCTCTTGTAAGAATAGCATTGAAGGTTTAGAAATCTTTAATTTATCATGATATCAAGAAATTCTATATTTTTTTTTTTCACACTTTTGTTTGAGTTATGCATTTGATAGCATGATTTGATTTGTCTGTAGGTATACATGGCATCACAATTTTAGTAATTAGGCTTCTGATATTTTTTCTGGAACTGAACCTCTTCTTGACCACCTCCTTGTTTTTGGCAGTATAGACCATTGATGAATAGTTGTTATTCTAATCGTGTAGGTTTCCATGGTTTTTGGGTTTCTAACTATGAAACCTATATATTGAAAGAATGGGGTAGTTCAGACTCACTATTTTTTTGGGTCATGCTGTTATCACATTTTTACAGATTGCTGCATTGGTTTTGTTGAACTTACTCAACTATATCCTGTTATATAATGTCAGAAAGTTGATTTTGGAAGGAATTCAAATTTTTCAAATGATGGAGAAATAATTGAAGGTCTGATGCAAACTCATGATGTAACATTAAGTAATCTCCGTTCACGTTTGACAAAATTACAAGTAAGTTTAGCTAGTCAGATATTAATTTCATTTGCTTTTAGACTAACCCCCGAGTTAGAGTTGTAATCCCACTATGTACTAATATCAGCTGATGAAAATAATTTCTTTACCCATACTCAATTTAAATCCAAATCTAGAAAGAAAATGAGACTAAAGGCATTTCATTCACCGACTAGTTCTAAGTAATGTGCACTTGCAGGTAGTGCGACATTTTTGGGAGCGAAGTGATACTAAAGGTGCCATCAGTGCTTTGAGAAAGCTGCTTGATCAATCTGTGCGTATTTTTTTATTAAGTGCCCATGTATCACTAGTTTGCACTCTGTTATGTATTGAATGCTTTAACTAGTTATTCATTGCTGTGTTATTGAATATATAGTGTTGAAGATAACTTCCTCTGGATGTAGGTTCAAGCTGATGTTATCAGTGTCCTCGTTGAGAAGATGGAGATTCTCACCTTAGATTTATTTTCTTGCTTACTTCCTGTGCTCACAGGTTTGTTGGATAGCAAGATAGAAAGGTAACTCTTTATTAACACGGTGATAGGAAAATTCATGCTGAAAGTCAAAGTGTGCGAGACCTCGTACTTCGCTTCATCAAGTGTATGGTTTCCAGTTTGTAGGCTGTGACCTCACAAAAGCAGTTTAAATTCTCATGCATGTTCCTACTGATCTTGCATATCACTAAGGATTTGGTATTTTAATTGAACCCAATGACGTGTGATTCATAAAGCTGACTTCAGAGTGAGATTTGTTGTTGTTCCTAATGATGGTGACCTTAGCAGAAAAATGACAAAGGAGTTTTGGCAGACATTAACTGTATTCTCACTGTGCAGACATGTGAAGGTGTCATTGGATATGCTGCTGAAGCTTGTTGCTGTTTTTGGTCCAACCATACGTTCTATCATTTCAGCACCTCCCTCTGTTGGGGTTGATCTACTTGCAAAACAAAGGTGCCCTTCATCTTCAGCTAATGTTGCTTTCATTATCCCGTGAAGTTTTTAAGTGAATGAACCTAATTTATAAAAATATGTTGAGAACAGGCGAGAATGCTCCAATCAGTGCTTTATGCAACTGCAAAAGATCCGAATGATGCTTCCAATATTAATAAGGTGATAATGTAATCTTTGTTGCCCACACATACATATATTAAGGTCATTGTTGCAGACTGATGGTTTTACAATGGAGAACAAAAATGTCTTGCCAGTTTCTATTTTTGTACTTTAAACTTGTCCTGATATGGCAAGATGTTAATAAATTGCATTTTGGCTGATTTTTTATATTTCTGTTTTGCTTCAGATTTAATTAAGCATCAATTCCTCTCAGTTTTACTAAACCACTCAATGTTACTGATTCTTAATCTGTTTCTTTGCTTATCAGTATCACTGACATTTATTTACATTTATCTAGATACAACAATCTAGAGTCACGGTTTCACTTTTCCCCTGGTGTTTTTTGTTGCAGGAGGGGTGGCTTATTGGCCAAGTCTTCCCAAGAGCTAAATTTAGTTCTTCAACAACTCTAATTTCAACCAACGTATAAATGATTGACTTGGCTTAACATAATCATTAACTGGACTGTGTACAAATCATGAAAGTGGCAATTGTCATCAGCTCTTTTTAATTGCAGAAAATTATAACAAATGAGATGTGTGAGATATCTGAATGAATTGTTTGACCTTGTGTTCGGATGCTTGAAGGTGGAATGGAAGCAGTCATCCAAGTATTTTGGTCTTCAACCTTGCTCTAGGCTTGTGTTCTTAGAATTATAAAAAGGGGTGGTTTGACCTAGGTTAACGGGTCAATTTTGATGTGGTTGAAAATTAAAAAATATATATTTTATATTAAAATAATTGATTAAAAGAATTTAAATAAAAATAAAAGAATAAAAATATCTTTTTAAAGTTTTAACTGTTAATGAAATTTGTTTTTATCTATAATCACTTAATATATAAACTATAAAAAGATGGATCTATTAAATCTTAAAATAAGAATAAAAATTTACTTTTTATTATCATCATTATTTTTTAATAATTTATCGATTAAATAGTAATTAATTTTAATAATTAAATCTTAAAATAAGTAGTTATTAAAGATTTATTTTAATGTTTAATTTAGAATTGGTGAATCTTTTGTCAAATTAATTTAATAATATATATATATATATATAATAAAATTATATTATTTTTATTTTTATTTAATAAAATTATCATTATTTTATAAAATAGAATAATTTATAAGTTTATGTACTAGTTGTACCTATGCAAATCATAATCTAAACGGATTGTTTAAAAATAAACCTGATTTATTAAAAAAAAATTGTTTAGATTATCTAGTTTTTTACCTATTGAACTATAGCTATTTTGATAACATTTGTGTTCTTGATATGTTTCAGTTTTCATCTATATGTAAGAATGGTAAAACGGGTCCAGCCTATCCGATCGGCTCGTCACTCGTTATAATATAGCGGGACATGTTGGTGTTTTCAACCTACCAGTTTGTTTTGTCCCACCCCGCTAACCTATCGAGTCGACCCATAACCCACCTAATTAATAAAAAAATATTTTTTTATTATAATACGATTAATCATAAAGATAATATATAAAGTTAAAAATTATACAAAGCGAATTAAAAAAGTCTCACAATCACTCAATATAAGAAACATTCTCCTTACTCCAAATAAGTTCTTCTCTCATCTTCTCATCTCTTTCCTTGTTACTCATTATCTCTTTCTTATTCATTGTAAGTACTTGATTGTTCTTATTTTATGACTTAAATTAAAGATGTAAGAATTATTCAATGAAAGAACAATATGAAATTTTATCAAATAAAAAAGATATAGGTATTTAAATTTTTAGATATAAAAAATATAAATTTTACAAGTTTTAATGTTATATATATATATATATATATATATATATTGTTATTATTATATAAATTTTATTATTAGTCTAAATTATAATTTTTAATAATGTGTTGATTTATATTATTAACTTAAAATATATATGTTAAATTATTCAAAAATAAATAATAATTTTATTATTAAATTTATTAAAAAATTTAATTTAAAAAAAATATTTTTTTTTAATTTATGACAAAACAACCCACCGATCCACTTTAATAAGATGAACCAAAATCTATATCCCATCATGTATCGGATGAGTCCGTTCCGTTTTTAGCGGCTGAAGATGAGATGGGGTCGTCCGTTATGCCATCCTATCCATATGTGTTGTTTCTCAACTGGTTTTGGTGCACCTTGGCATGGCCCAGTGCAAAATGAGTAAATGTATGAGTCTGCTGTGCAAAATTCCCTATATATGCAATATCCAGTGAATGAAACGGGTTTATTATTTGTTATATCAGTTTAATAAATCCCTGGTCTGTAGGGATATTTCCTATTTTGTAGGCACAACGTGTGCAGTCTGTTATGCATTATTTGTTTTTGTTTTGGCTATATAATAGCCTGAGTTTAATGAAATAGCAATCGAGTTCTTGCACCAATATATTCTATATTCTATTTACTTTCAAACTGGTATCAGAGCTCTACGGGGCCTGATACACAAGCTGCAGCTTTTGTGAGAACGTGTGAGAACGATAAGATCTAACCATGCAAAGTGAAAAATTCTCCACCAAAATTCCTCACTTTGATGGTCAGCACTATGACCATTGGAGTGAATTAATGGAGAATCTCCTACGTGCCAAGGGGCTTTGGGATATTGTCAAATTTGGTGTTGAAAAACTAGATGAGAGTGCTGATCTAACTGACGAACAGTTGGAACAATTGGAGAACGCTAGGCTCGATGATCATAAGGTAAAGCATTACTTTTTTCGAGCTATTGACCGGACTGTCTTTGAGCAAATTTTAGACAGAAGCACGTCGAAGATTGTGTGGGATTCTTTAAAGCACAAGTTTGGAGGTAATGCACGAGTTAAGAAATCCTTGCTCAACGCATTAAGACGGGAGTTTGAGGTGCTTGAAATGATTGACACCGAAACCATCACAGAATACTTTGTTCGGGTAATGACAGTGGCAAATAAGATGCGCAGCAACGGTGAAACTATGCCTGACTCCAAGGTGGTTGAAAAAATACTCCGCACTTTGACAGATCGTTTCACTTATGTAGTAGTTTCTATTAAAGAATCACACGACACAGAGACCATGTCTGTTGATGAACTACAAAACACTTTGGTGGTTCATGAGCAAAAATTCAGAAGAATGAACCGACATGACATGACGAGCAGGTACTAACATCAGAAAACAGTCGCAATGGAGGACGAGGCAGAGGGAGAGTGCCCAACCGAGGTCGTGGACGTGGTAGAGGAAGACAAGCTTTCTCTAAGGCCATCGTGGAGTGTTTCAAGTGCCACAAATTGGGTCATTTCCAATATGAATACCCCCAATGGAACAAGGAAGCAAATTATGCCGAACTAGGTGACACTGAAGAGTTGGTCCTGATGGCCACCATTGATGAGCAAATCAACAAGGAGGTTGCATGGTTCTTGGATTCCGGGTGTTCGAATCACATGTGTGGTGATAAGAATGCTTTCATGGAATTGGTTAATGAAGCCAAGCATTTTGTCAAATGTGGCAATGACTCTCGAATGACAGTTGTTGGCACAGGAAGTGTCAGATTAACTTTTAATGGTACTGCTTTTCTGATACGAAATGTCTACTATGTCCCTGAACTTCACAAAAATTTGTTAAGTATTGGGCAGCTGCAGGAACGAGGACTTTCCATTCTCATACAAAATGGAAAATGTAGTATTTATCACAAATCCAAAGGTCTGATTGTTCAAACAACCATGACCTCAAATCGCATGTTCATTCTATTTGATGAAGGTTGCACCACACCATTTTCCATTGATGATTGCCTGCATACTACTGCTGATACCACTAACCTCTGGCATCAAAGGTTTGGACATCTACACTACAAAGGCTTGAAGACCCTACAAACACATAATATGGTGCTTGGTCTACCCACACTTGACTCCACGGGTATTGTATGTTCTGATTGTTTCACTGGCAAACAACATCGCACTATGATTCCTAAAACAAGCAAATGGCATGCAAGCACCATCTTAGAGCTCATACATGCAGACATCTGTGGACCCATAGAACCCATCTCTAACAGTGGAAAGAGGTATTTCTTCAGCCTTATTGATGACTATAGCCGTAAGAGTTGGGTGTATTTACTGTCTGAGAAATCTGAAGCTTTGGACTATTTCAAGTATATAAAAACATGGTTGAAAAGGAGACGGGGGCGCTCATCAAGTGTCTCCGAACAGATAGAGGGGGGGGGGGGGGAGTTTAATTCCCTTGCTTTCAGATCATTTTGTGATGAAAATGGTATCAAACGACAGCTTACCACAGCGTACACGCCACAACAAAACGGAGTAGCGGAACGCAAAAATAGAACCGTTATGAATATGGTACGATGTATGTTGTCCGCAAGGAGGGTTCCTAAAACTTTTTGGCCTGAAGCAGTTAATTGGGCATTCTATTTGCTGAATCGTTGTCCCACACATGCGGTAAAATATGTCACACCACAAGAAGCTTGGAGTGGGATCAAACCTTCTATCAAACACCTTCGGGTTTGGGGATGCCTAGCTCACGTTCACATACCAGATGCAAAACGAGGTAAACTTGATGATAAAAGTTTCCCTTGTATCATGCTAGGTGTTAGTGATGAATCCAAAGGTTACCGCTTATTTGATCCCAAAGTCAAAAGAATTGTGGTTAGCAAAGATGTGGAGTGATTATAAAGAGCAACTTGAAACTGAATTGATGTGGAGTGATGATGAACTCCATAGTGACGATGGTGAACAACAACAACACAATGATGGAATTCAACTTGAAGACAACACACTTGAAGACAACACAGAACTTGAAGAAGTTGGTGAAACCAGTGCAGTTCCAAGAAGAGAGCGACTACAACCAACTTGGATGCAAGATTATGTCAGTGGCGCAGGTTTAAGTGAAGAAGAAGAAGGAGAAGAGGCAACCGCCTACATGGTCCAAAATGTCATCAATGATGATCCGGTTCAGTTTGAAGAAGCAATCAAATATGAAATATGGAGGAAAGCCATGAATAGTGAAATGCAATCAATTGAAAAGAATCCTGCGCTACCTAAAAGGGACTACCAGCTATGGAATATTCTATAGGAAAGGAGAGGAGGCAAATCTACTTGTTTTCACAGATTCTGATTATGTAGGTGATGAGGATGACTCAAAGAGTACATCTGGATATGTATTCTTATTTAGTTCAGGAGCTGTATCATGGATGTCAGAGAAGCAACCAATTGTTACTCTTTCAAGCACAGAGGCAGAATTTGTGGCTGCTGCCGGTTGTGCCTGCCAAGCTATATGGATGAAAAGGGTATTGAGATTTTTAACTAATTCTCAAAACAGCACCAGAATTATGTGTGATAATAGTTCAACTATTAAACTTTCAAAAAATCCTGTTATGCATGGAAGAAGCAAGCATATTAGAGTGCGGTTCCATTTCTTGCGAGATCTTGTGAAAGACAAAGAAGTTGAGATGGTGTACTGTGAAAGTCAGGAACAAGTTGCAGACCTAATGACTAAAACCTTGAAATTTGAGGCTTTTGAGAAGCATAGGAAGAATATGAGAATGATTGATCTTGCTGAAATAAACTAACAGCATATTGCAGTCAGTTTAAAGGAGGGAATGAAACAAATTTATTATTTGTTATATCAGTTTAATAAATCCCTGGTCTGTAGGAATATTTCCTATTTTGTAGGCACAACGTGTGTAGTCTGTTATGCATTATTTATTTTTGTTTTGACTATATAATAGCCTGAGTTTAATGAAATAGCAATCGAGTTCTTGCACCAATATATTTTATATTCTATTTACTTTCAATGAAATGTGTCTACTAAGTACTCAATCTTCTTCCGTTTAAAAAATAAGGACTGATCAGAAATTACAAGTATGATGATGTTCACTAGATTTACATCTTTGAATGCTCAATTTACTGAATGCTAGGAAGATTAACATTCTGTAACCAATTACCAAAGCTGGTCTTGAATTCTATTTTAAGGCCAGTGATACTTATCATTATAAACCCCTCGTAACACTTAAAAATGGACCCAAAGAAATGTTTTCGGAATGGAAGTAATATATAATTATTTCCGTTGACGTCTGTGAGAGTTTGGTCAATAGGTTTTCTTCTATAAATTCTGAACAGAATTTTATGAGTTGGTAAACATCAGTTTTCCTTTTTACATTTCAACAACCTGAATAAGACCATCAAATCAACCCATCATTTTGGACAAATAAATTTTGTGGACGTCACCAAAGTCCTGCTTTTTTATTTCACCTTCAATAGTTTACGACAGAATTGGTATGATTCACTGATATTATTTATAAGAGAGGTTCATTTTAATCACTCTTTTTTATCATTGGAGAAAAAAATTATAATTTATATTTATGATATATTTTTTCCTTCTATTTTTTAAACTATATATTTTCTTCAATCTTTTTTCTATAATATAAAATATTTTTTTTGTTAGATGTTCTTTTCAATTTCTTTTTTTGTAATTCTATTTCAGGTTTATTTGTCTTTTAATAATTCATAATCTTAAGAACAAATACTTATATTTTTAAATTAATATATACGTTTAATTATAATAAATATGAACCTGCTAATATTTTATTATGTATTTAGTTAACACAGTTAAAAAATTCTTATAAAATGGCGAAAAATAATATTTTTTTTTACTATAAGTTTATTCGAAAAATATACTTAACTTTGATCAGAGTAAAGCGACAAAGCTTTATGCTTTATTTAGCTCCTCACTTCACTTGGATTATTTAGGTCAACATTCACTCAGTCCTGCACTAAAATTAATCCAATTTAATTAGTAATTTTAAGTTTCAATATTAAACACATGTATAGATTCAATAAAATAAATTCATATTTAATCATATTAAAGTTACAATATATGTTGGTATTTCACGAGTTACTTTATCTACTAATTTCAAGGTTTCATAATTAAAGATGCATAACAAATATTTAGTTTGACTTCAAATGTTCCATCATAAGACAATTTTCAGATTTTAAAGGAATTGAAACATATTAGTTATTATATCTTTGATTTAATATTATCTTATATTATCATTAAAATTTCTTCTTCTTTCAATTTTATATTATTTTTTCACTTTAATAAATCAGTAAAAAATGAAAAATATGAAGTAAAAAATTGAGTGAAAAATTCGGAAAATAGCTATAGTTGAACAATAAATTGCACAATTATATTATATATATTATAAAAGACGCTTTTCTTTGTTAATAAATAAACTATGATTTTTATTCTAAGTATTTTGAAGTTCAGTTTTGATTTTTTATTTATTGTAGTTTTTTAATTATAAAATATACATTTTTTAGTCCTTCAATTATATTAAATAATATTTTAAAATAGACAAAGAATAGTTTTATATAATATTTGGAGCAGCACTGAAAGTGAAAATTTCAAAATTGAAGAGATTATAATCGAATATTTTGTTTAGAAAACTATTTTTTTTTAATATATGCTTTATTTATTTATTTTCAAAATACCCAATGATTATGCGTCAATTTTCCATAAAGATCACACAATTAATATAAAATAAAACAGTGATTAAATTGTAATAATGATGATGACGTATAACCGCGTATATATTTTTTTAAATGTAATAGGAAACGTTTTCTGCATATAGTTTACTAATATAACTGTACAACATACAATAATATAATAGTTAAATAAAATGTAAGATATAAATATTAATGTCAATAATTTGATATGAAATAGTAAAAGAACAAAAAAATATTTTTATAATTAATTTTTTAGAATGCAAATTCGTAAAGCATAAAGGATTATATATTTATATTTTTAGTTTTTATAATTGAAAGATTTTAGTGACATAGTTAACCATATTATATTTAGGAGCATAATTAACCATATCATATGACATAATAATATAACGAATATGAAATAAAAACAAAATAAAATAAACATATAAAATAAGAATAAAAATAGATTAAAAAATAGATTAATATAACTAAATATAGCAGCGGAAGAGTGGAGCAGGCAGGTTGTCTCTCGTATTTCATCTTTCATTTTTTTTAACTATTATTCCTTTGTTCCATTTGGATTTCAGATTTTTTGTCTTAACTCATTTTAGTTCTGTAATATTTATAATAAATTAATTTTAATATTTATTATAAATTTTTATATATAAATAAATGTTTATAATTATATAATTTTTAATTATTAATTAAATATGTACTTTAATTATTATATTTATATTAAAATATATAATTCTTATATAATATATTATAATATTGTTTTAAATATTTGATTAATTAATTTTTAATTTATAATTTTAAAATATATAATAAATATAAAATATATAATTTATAAGAAAATATTTAATAAATTAATTTTATTTAAATAGATTAAAATAATAAAAGATTTAATTACCAGTCTTTCAAAATATAATTTTATTAAAATAAAATTTAATATATGACAAATTATAATATTTAGAAAAAAAAATATAAATTAACTTTTTTTTGTAAAATTGATTGAAGAAAATGGAAAAATCAAGTTCATTTAAGAATTTAAAAAGATATGAAAAAAAATATAAAAGAAAGAAAATAATTTAATGAACCTATTAATTTTAAATAGAAAAAAATATAAAAAAAATATATAAAGTGGATAATAAAAAATAAATAGAATGAAATATAGAAAAATAACCAGAAAGAAAATAAAATATTTTAAAAGATGAATGTTTTTAAATTTAAATTTAAAATTTAAAGTTAAGAGGAAAATAAAATTAGAGCGAGAATTATATTATTTATTCCGGTCATCGTTTTGGACTTCTTAAACTAAGAAAAATTTAAAATCACCTTCGTTATCGTTTTCAGTAAAAAAATATTATTTTATTAAATTTGAAACTGAATCATTCCTATTTAATTGTGATTCCTAATTATTATCAAATAATAAAAAAATATATAGTAAATATGAAATAGAAATAAAAAAATAATGAACAATTTTTTTTTTACATAATATAATAAAATATTAATAAATAAACAAAATTAAATTCATCTAACTCATTTTTAACTTTTAAAATGAAATAATGATATAGGTAAATATCTACGAGTAAACAATGAAGTAGGGATCAAGTTTTTATTTATATTTTTAATTTTATTTTAATCTTATTTTATTTATATATTTAACAATTAGTCAACAGATATTATCTATATTTAACTATATATATATATATATATATATATATATATATATATATATTTTTAATTCAGGACAGCATGGCATATAAAAAATTGCCAACGAACTACTGAAAGGGCATTATCAGTTACAATTAAATATTAAATTTTAGGTAAATTGACTCAATTATGTCATTGCATTGACTTTAATAATATTTATGCACTCACACAGTTATGTTATGGCAAAGATAATCATGGTGGCAATTAATAAACTTAATTGAAAAAGATAATCTTTCATTAAATTATATTAAAAGCATTTATTTTTAAAAAATATATATTAAATATACATTATTTAAATAATCGAATGAAGAAAGAAACTTTATAACTTTATTCCGATAATTGTGAAGAAAAGCTAGCAAAGCATATCACAGTACATGTATTATGTTCTATTTATAATAGATTATATTATGTTGTGGGTAGTGTTTTTTTACTAAAATTTAAGTTAAAATTACTCTTCATAATTATGGAACACATATTCGATTTTAGATATTTTTTGTTTTATTTTATTTTTTATATTTATTTTAAAAAATTATGAATTTATTATTATTTTTATATTTATTTTTTATTAAGAGGAATTGTTATTTTAGACAATTATATTATAAAAAATAATTTGTTTTTTATAAAAATGACAAATAAAGTTACTTGACTTTTTCTCCATTTTTCTTGTCTTTTTATTTAAATAATACAGCTTTTATTTGTAATTAATTTAAAATAGTTTTTAGTCTCAAAACTATTTAAGCCATTACTTTACAAAAGTAATTTCACTAAAATGTTATTTAATGATTTGCATAAAAATTCATAATAAATTTATGAACATAAAATTGTGTGAAAATCGTTTACTCGTGTCCAACACGTGCTAAGTACCAATCCATGTGACCCCACGATCCTACGTTGAGAGGGAAAAAAATGAACAAAAGTAATTGGGACAGGGTTTAGTGACTATTCCTTATACTAAATCATGATTTAAGTGTTTGAAATAAATGATAACAAAAGTTGACACTTTATTTTGATTTTTGTTACTCATATGAAAATTTATTGATTGATATTTTTACAAATATTTTATTAGTTTGTATAACACATATATTTTTTCTAAATATATTTAAAATCAAATTATATCTTAAATAAATAAATAAACGAGAAAAAATAATTGCATATATTGTACTTCTTATTGATTCTATTATAAGAAAATATTACATAAAAAAGTAAAGAAATTGTTTTCTAAAAATATAAATATAGTGTATATTTATTAAGTAATTCTAACAAGCATTTAATATATTTTGTATGTTTTTAAAAAAAATACATTTGCATTTTATTTAATACTTCCATTTATAAATAAATAACATAATTTTCTAAAAGAAAATAGACAATGTTATTCAAACATGATATTAACAATATTACCAAAAAAAAATTCTTACAAAGAAAACAAAAAAATAAATTGGAAAAAAAGTGAATTTATGATATGAAGAACCATAATTACAGTAAAGACCACGCATTTGTCATTATTAAACCACAGAAATTCAAATTTCAGACATCCACACTTCCCAGTGGGCAAAAGCGCGCAATCTCGAAAGAGAAACGGCGAAAATCAATAAACAATATTAGGAAAAACTAAAAAGAAGCGAAGGGTAAAATGGTGATTTCATACAAAATTCTCCCAAATATATAAGACAGAACAATACATAGTTGAGAAATTGAAAATACAAGCCTACACGACATTCCCGATTGTCGTCCATTGTTGTTGTATGATGTGTCTCTTCATTTCTTTTTATTTTACTTTATTTTATTTCATTTTACCCCATATTACTTCCTTCTCTCAATCCGTCATCTCCTAACATTTAATTAATTTTAATTTTTTTTTTCCAAAACAAACCAACCACCCGAAACCGCCACTCTCCGCCATCCCTTATTTCCTCCGTAACACAACGCCAGAAGCGATTTTCCGGTGCCGGAAACCTGTTTTCTCGCCCCTCGAGGCATTCTCGTACCGTTTCGGATGTATCTGTTATTTTTTTCTCCGTTGCCGTGGGTTTAGTCGGGGCAGTAGCGTTTTCTTTTACGACTTTGCTAACGTGAGCCGCGAGCGTAGGATTAGGAACTTAAAAAACAAAAAAAGCAGTCGCGTTTGCTTCAATCGCGAGCGTACACGTGTACAGCGATGGGAGCAGAGTTGGTGGTGACGTGGAGCACCTGGGAGGAGCTTCTTCTCGGTGGAGCTATTCTCCGGCACGGAAACCGAGATTGGACCGTCGTTGCCGCAGAACTCAAAACCCGAACCGTTTCGCCGTTCATTTTCACACCCGAGGTACGTATAAACTATTAAATAAATTATATTATTATATTCTCTCTTTATTTATTTATTCATTCATTTTATTTACTTTATTCTCTTTCCCTCTTTATTAGGAATAAGAGAGAATAGTAAATTAATTTCGGTTCAGTTTCTAAACCGTTACGGGTCATTATTGACCGACACATTGACCTAATCTCATTGCATAGGCGCATGCGATTATTAATTTTTTAATATTATGGTATTAAATGAAACGAATTACTTTATTATATTTATTTATATGTTTTATAGTCAACGTGGGTTTAGACTAGATGTTTTGATGGGGTTTTCTGGTATTGTGTTGTATCCGAAACATCGATTGTGACTGTGTTTGTGTATGGATTTGCTAAAGTGTTTTGTGGGGAATGCGTGGTATTCACGTGCAATTTCTTTTGTTCACTTTATCGAATTTCTTACGCTGCTTACATCATCATCACCTGCATATATATGGTGATTGAGTTGGCGTTAACCCTATTGCTCAATTTGTTTGGTGATGATAGTCACATTTCATATTCGCCAATGCCAAGTAGCATCGCCATCACAACTAGCTCCACATGCCACGTAAAATTGCTGAAAGCCATGTCTAATTGCCCATGTTGCGTAACATATTTAAATATCATGAGGGTTGCGAAAATTCGGTGTATGTATTAGAAATAGTGAAATGAACCATTGGGACGTTTCATTATAGCTTTTCATTACTTTTACGCCTCCTAATAATTTCCTTACCAAATTATGTTTATGTTGATGGAAACTTTCAACAATTATAATAATGGTTTAGTACTCGGACTTTATGCACAAAATTTGCTCCGGTTTGCCAATACATATCCATTTAAGGTTCTAAAACCATTTCTTATCAAATTTGTTGGTTTAAACTGTTAACTGATTTTAAAATTGGTTTTAAACCATAAACAAATTTGAAAAAATCGAGCTCAGATGTCTTGGACAAGGTCAAACCAAAGATATATTAGGCCAGGTCAAAGTGAAGATACTCTACTTGACGCCGAAGTGAAGATACTATGGATGAGGTTGACGTGAACATATTCTAATTGAGGGCAAATAATAATTTTTGACCGAAGCTGGGTTTAAGATATATTCCAGCCGAGATTGAGTTGAATATATCCTAGATGAAGCTAGTTGAAAGGTGATCAGGTCAAGTCTAGTCTAAGCTTTGGTTACTTCGTGAAATATAAGCCTATGTTTTTACATTAGATATATTTTCTTACTAGTCTAGGCCTGGGAACATGTATGCCCTTTCATCTACTGATGCATATTAAGCATGTTTACGTGTCTCAAACATGACACTGACATTAGTGCTGCCCATTTTGCTTTTACTGCTAAGTGTGAAGGAAAAACATTTGATGAACTTTCATTTTGATAGAGGTATTTCTTTTTGAAGGTTTGTAAAGCCAAATATGAACAGTTGCGACAGCAGTATTCTGGGTGCATGTAAGTATAATTGTTTCTAGATTTAGATTTAATGAAATCCACCCTGAAGATGGCATAGAAGTTATGTTATATCTCATTCTATTATGGTTACATGACACTCTCAGGGCTTGGTTTGAGGAGCTTAAGAAGAAAAGAGTGGCAGAGCTTAAGAGAGATTTGGAGCTATCTGAAGAATTAATTGGGTTAGTTACATGGTCATATTTCTCTGTACTCTGAGATTTTGTAGAACCGCAAAGTAATATTACGAAACACTACAAATCTTAATTTCTTCAAGGTTTATGCTAACTGATATGTCTAAACAATATCACAGTTTAGCTTGCAAATACTACACCCTACTGCCATTGGGGTAGTGCAGTGTGAAATTCTGACCACAACAACTAGTGTTGAAATCACTTTTCACAGTTTTGATTGCCACCATTTTCGGTACAATTAAACTCTATCTTTGTTTCAGGTCCCTTGAGTTGAAGCTTGAATCCCTTAAGACTGGAAGGGACGAGAAAAAGGCCGATTGCCGTGTTGATGATGGCTCAGTTGGACCCGAATTACATGTTCCGTCGCAGAAATTGGATAGAGTCGTGCCTTCCGCAAAAGAGATGTCAAAGGATGGGCTATCTGCTGGGAGTTTCACACAAGAAACCCAGACAAACTGGTCTCATGAATGTAAGGTTCCAGCAATGTCTTGTGAAGATGTGGAGACCAAGCCTGAAGTTTCAGGGTCTACTGAACGGAAGAAAATTTTGAATGTAGATAATAAGTCGGCTCACACTGTATATGAAGGGCAGGGAGGGTGTTTGAAAAAACGAAGAGGGAAGAGAAAGAGGAAGGATTGTGGCAGAAATATTAATGAAGCTAGTGTAAAAGAAAGTGATTTATCAGCTGATGTATGTAAAGAAAGTTCTACCAGCAACTGTGATGAGATCGCCAAATCTTCTGGTATGAATGAGGCAAACGCAATCTTCAAAAAGGATGAAGTAAAAGATTTGTTGGAGCTCTTGGATTCTTTTTTGTTAGTTCAAGGTGCTTCTGCCTTCTGTCGTAGGCATGATAGCCAGGTATGTGTAACTTAGAGATCTCATTCTCCTCTAATATGATTGGCTTTTAACTTTTTAAGCCATGTAATGCTTTTGATGATAGGTCCACCAGTTTCTTAGACGCTTATGCTCTAGATCTTACAAGCTATTTAATTGAAATTTTTTAATAAGCATATCTGTTATATTATAATCACCAATAAAAATGGTATACTAATGATGAGAATAATAAATTTCATTCTATAGTTGCACAAATACTATGCAATAACCAACACAGATGAATATAAATTTCAACAATCCTTTGTTTCTTTTAAAACGTTTTAGTACCATCACTCAATTTTCACCTTGAAAGCAAGCACTTGGCTCTTTTCTAGTTATTCTTTTTGAAATTGAGTTGCAATGAATGACAAATAGGGATATAGTTTAAAGCCTTGAGGCAAAGAATAGGCAGTGATATGATTCATCATGCTTTTGCACCACTTTCTTTACAACAGAAGCGAGGAAGATACAAGAAAATGATCCGGCAACACATGGACTTTGACACTATAAGGTCTAAAATCAACAATGGAACAATCAAGTCCATGATGGAGCTTTTAAGAGACTTGCTACTATTAACCAACAATGCTATAGCATTCTACTCCAAGATCACTCGTGAATACAAAATTGCTCTAAAACTGAGAGACCTTGCCATCAAAACATCGGCCGAGAAACTCAAGTTTTTGAGCAGCAGCAATGTCACCCTTGCCAATGCCTCTACCTCATCACCTGTGCATGAACCTCAAGCGAAAATCAAAAGCATGACCACGTCACCTGCGCATGATCCTCCAGTGAAGGCCAGAACCACATCACCTGTGCATGATCCTTCGGTGAAAGTCAGAAGCATGCGCCCTGGTAACCGCAAGATTCTTGCAAAGGTAGCTGGTGGCAGTAGCTCTGCTGAAAGGGTCTCACTTAGAGCTAAGAAAGAAGCTAATAAAGTTGATTCTCCATCTTCAGTGGAATCTTTACCCATTAAGAAGGCTTTTGGTGTTAAAACAAAAAAGATTGGACGTGAAAGTGCAGGTCAGAGACATGCAACACCAAGGAAGGGAAAGAAAAGAGGGAAAGCAAAGTGAGGATTTGGCCATCTTAAAGGGTCTCTGTACAAAGGTTTGTTTACCTTTTTTATTTGCATTCAGAAGGAGTAACTTTCATGCAACCAGCAGAAGGAGCGGCACCAGAGAATGAACTGGCTAGTTCAAGTATATGATATTATAAATAGTTATAAATTATGAATAAAAGAAAGTAGTTCTAAATTACAGCAACCAATCTAGACAAAATTTCAAACAGTAGGTACTTTGTAGTAAATCTCTTGTAAGTTGTAAATGCGGGTTTTGTTTTTACCAAAAGAGAAGTATACTAATTTAAATAGACAGGAAAATTATAAATTTATGTGCTATTGTTTTTTTTTTTTTTTTTACCGTTCCCGTTTTGATATTTGAATTTGATAACATTATCTAAAATGGTTCTTATGTCAATTTTGTACTAACACTTGTTAATTTTTTTTTTATTTAAATATAGTGGCTGTTGTAATTAGTCACAATTTTAATTTTTGAAAAATAATCATCTTCCATCCTCTTTCATTCATCTTCGCACTTACCTATTTCCTCCCACCCTTATTTCTACATGACTCAATTTTTAAATGGATTGTTGTGAGAAGTCTGACCTAATTGTATATTGCAGCAACGAAATATTTTGACTTGTTTTAAAAATGTAAAAATAATTAAAAAAGTAAATAAATAATTAACAATAAAATATGTTTTTAAAATGTAAGTTATGTTAATTAAATTAATTTTAATTTTAATTGTAATAATTTGATATATAAATTATATAATATACTTATATTAATAAAAATGATTTTATTTTTTAATATATAATTATTATTTTATAAAATAATCTATTTATAAATTTACAGATTAATTCAACATAAATGTATTTAGGTCATAAGTTATGGGTTAGATTATAAAAAGTTTGATCACAATTATTTGTTTGGATTATATTTTGGGCTATTTAGACTTTTTGAATCGATATATTAGAAGGGACCTATTTTGATGATCTTAATAACAATATAATAATAAAAAGGTTAGAGAAATGACAATAATGATACAGGAAAAGAACAACTAGACTAATCACTTGAGAGAATAAAGTACCTTTACCCTAATTTGTAGATCATGCATCCATTACAAGAGAGTTTCCACTTGATGAATGTGCCATTTCCCCCCCCCCCAATAAATATTCTAACAACCATCCCTTTTTTGTACCAAGTCCAAGAATAGTATCGAAGTGTTCCTCAACAATCTTTCTTTCATCTTTACACTTATTTTAGTATATATTCCCTTGTGGATTAGTCCAACCAAACCATATTATGAAAGACATTTTAAGGACTAAAAAAATATATGGTGCGTATGTTATCCTTCCTCAAGTAACGTTCACTCTCACCAATGCTACAAACCCATATTTATCTCTTTCTACACTTTTAAAATGGCTTTCACCATCACAATGATGGAGAAAAGGTTTCTAAATAGTAATAAATGAAGCAAAGGTGATAAGAAATTCCCATGAAAATTTTTCCAAAACCACTTTTTTTTTTAACTAAATGCGAGACATGGTTGTATTATCCCATTGAAGTGAAACATTTAAATTACTTGACTTTTCAATTATCATCAGCCATCCCTTTTTTCCTTTCTTTTATTCAAAATTATATATTTTTCTTTATTTCTTCCATTTTTTAAAAAAACATCGTTATCTCTTTTGCAGTCACGTAATTATATTTTTAGTTTTTTATCTACAATTGTGAGTTGGTAAGATTGTTATTAAGCAACCTCAAAAAGGACATACATGTAAAGTAACATGTCTAATGCAACATTTAATAGTGTTAAAATTTCATAAAAGATCAATTGAGAAATTGAAATATATCAAGAGTATAACATAGTTGAATAATTACAATTAATTATAGTAATTATGAGGTTGAAAAGTATACTTAAGTTTATCATGTATATATTTAGAGATTTTTATTTGTTATATATTTTAATGTAATTTCGATATAAAAAAAAACATATACCCTTAAAATAGTACTACTACTTTATTATTTCGGGTCTTCGGAATTCAAAAGTCAAAGTTAATTAGGGACAACTTGGACATTTCATGTAGTAACCGCCCTTGTTAAAGTCACATACCCGGTCCGACCGGTGGAAATTTCCGGTCCGGTCTGATACCCAATATTAATACTTCGAATCATTCTTGACCCAATCACAGAAGTCAAAATGATACACAGCGCCACGCCACACACAGAGAAACCGCTGCAACCCCAACCTTCGCCGTCGAATTCGCTTCCTCACCGGAAGAAGAAGCGCAAGCGCAGAGCCGCCACCACTTCCACTTCCGTTTCCTCTGAAGCCAGCTACGCCAATGGCCTTGACCAGCTCACGAGTCGCATTCATGACTCTACTGTTGAGTGCGAGCAGAAACCTAAAGCGGAACAGAGTAAAGCCCCTTTCCGTTTGCAGGAGCTAAGACAGAGAAGCGTAAGCGGTGGCGAGAGTTTGGGATATTCCGCGGTTACGGCCGTTGATGCAGGTTGCGTTAAGGAAGTTAGTTCCATTGTAGCGGCAACATCGGAGGCGGCGGAGTCTTTGGAGTTAAAGGGTGTTTTGGAAAATGATTCGATCTGTGAGTACAATCTTGCTAATACTTTTTGGACAAAATAGTCATTTTAGTTGTAAAATATAAGATTGTTTAAAATTAGTTTCTGGCTATGAAAAAATTGAAAAAAAAAAAATTGGTCTTTTTCCTTTTATAGATAGGTCTTGTATTTTTTGTTAGCTATATGATTGGTGTGGATCTTTATAATTTTAACTCGAAAGGTCTTCCATTTTATTATTTAAATTATAATTTAATCGTTATATAAAATCTAATTTATAATTTATTCTTAAGAAATTTAATTATGTTTTAATAATAACATATACTACTATTTATCTAAAACGAAGAAATAAATAAAAATTATTGAAAATTAGATTTTATACTAGTGATAAAATTGATCATATTGTCTATCTTTTATACTTCTCATCTTATTTATTTAATAGCTAATATTTTTATTTATTTTCTATCTTTTAAGTTATTTTTTGCTACAGATGATGTGATGTGATTGGTCCAGGCTTTTACAGACAGGGAATCCAATAGTGCTTTAGATATTATAGATTTTGAAACTGGCTTGTGGTAGTTCTATCTTCACATTTAAGTAAGACTTTATGGAAGGGTAAAGTGGTTGGAATTAAGAAAATTCAAAAAGAAGAATTACAATTTGTCAATTACATTAGTCCAACTATTACGTGCAATCTGTCATTTAATAATATTAACCTATGTTTAAATATTAAAATAACAATAAGTGGTTTTAATAATATTAACCTATTTTAAATATTAAAATAACAAGCAGCTGTGAATTTGAAAGATTTCCATGAAACTATTGATGATTTTAAGAATATATTATTTTAAGGACCTACAACGTTTAACACTTGTAAAAACTAGAAAGGAAATTTATCATAAGAATTTAAACCTTTTTACACAGAAATTTTGTTTAGGACTTTTGAGATAATTATTTTAAAATGAACGAAGTAATTTGTGAATGCACATAATGTTGTAGTTGAGAGTGAAAAAAATAATGTTGTGACATGTAATCCTGGTTTCTTCTGATGTTTGATCTGTTCACCAATCAATGGTCAATCTGTAATTTGATTATTTCAAGAAGTTTGTTTTCTTTATTATAATTTGTGTCTTGTTTTATTAAGGAATTTATGCTTTACAACATGTTTTCAGCGAAGAAGTCACCCGTGTCATACTTTTTTGAGAAAGTGTACTATGGAAATTCTGTGTGGAGCACAACAACTATTGGGGATGAAAAGGGACGAGAAAGAGTTTATGACACTATCTTCCGATTACCATGGAGATGTGAATTGGTATTTGGTATACTTTTGTTTAATTCGTTGAAAAAGAAAATTAATAAAAGGGAACTTTGTTTGCAGTTCAGTGTTTATATAACAGATCAGAATAAAATGTTGAAGTTATGAAAAGGATATAAGCTGAAACTGTACTCCTACCATACTTAATTTATGTCTATGTATTTTGGTAAGACATTCTACCTTATCTGTTATGATTTCTCAAACGTGGAATGCATTATTGCAGCTTATAGATGTTGGTTTCTTTGTCTGCTTCAATTCATTTCTGTCACTGTTAACTGTCATGCCCACAAGGATAGTGATGTCCTTCTCGAAGCTTCTGAAAACAAGGTTCACCACCCTCTTCAATTTTCTTCTATTATTTGTAGTACTTTAATGTTTGTTTAGTATGCTTGCATTTGTGAGGATTTAGATGATGGACTAATCCTCTAGTCCAATATGTTTAGTATTCAGTTTTATAAATCATAAATTTCTTTAGGGAAAAAGAATAGGGTGATTTTTCTTTTTTACCCACGTCACCCAGATTAAGCAGCTTATTTAACGACACAGTAATCATATATGCCTGATTTTTTTCAATTATAATTGGATTGCCCTGGTCCTGAGCTTACTGAAGAGTTGGAACCAATCTCCCATTTTATGATACACTCTGACCTTATCATGCTCATGGCAGGAAGTTCAATAGGCCATCTACGATTGAGTTGTCAGATTTTGGCTGTTTTCTTATTTTGGCTTGTGGAGTCTCTGTTTTGCAGCAAATAGGTATAACGATAGTATGCTTCGATAGTTTTATCTTATATATTTCCTTAGTGCATTGATCACGTTCAGTTTATTACTTTGTTGATTTAGTAAATTTGTTTTAAGCTCCCTGCTTTAAGATGTTTGTTATGTTAGATATCAGCTTAATATATCATATGATCCGTGGTCAAGCAACAATCAAGTTGTATGTGATCTACAATATGTTGGAGGTGAGCACAAATTAATCTTTGAACCTAGGTTGTACTGATTAATTAGGTCTCCACACATGCCAAATTTCTGGACTTCTGATTGTAAATCAAGATGGATATTCAAATTAGATTATTGTTTGGCATTTTTGCCATAGATAGTGAGGCAGAACTTGTGTGACCGAGTGGTTACGAATGATATGAAAGATGGGAATTTTGTATGTCAATCATGAATTTACAAATGGTGTGATATATACATGGGTGCCCATAAGACGGCCTTTTGGTTTTTGAACAATTCATTTCACAAATCACAACTACTCAAAATGTAAGCTTAGGATCTAGGTGTGGGAAAATTATTTTTTCGTCTTCTGTATTCTGTTGATTGCATATGGGTCATAACTATCTTGACTTCTTGACTGAAACTTATAATGACTGGTCCTTGAACCTTCTTGCGCAGATATTTGATAAATTATGTCAAAATTTTATCGGGGATGTTCTGCAAATGCTATTTCATTCAGCAGAAGAACTTGCAAGATGTCCCCCAGAAACACAAAGTATGAGATTCTGGATGTGGAGATTTATTTCTGATCAAGTTTTAGCTATTGTTACTTCAAATATCCTTTTTCTTTGAGTTGATAATTCTTTTTACGGCTAATTATTTCATTATATAGACAAGAGATAAGACAAAAGCGCTGGTTATTTTCCTTGACTAGCTGTACTTGTTCATTCTTTTATCTTATTAGTTCAGGCAATCACTTTATCAGCCTGTATTGTTTCTCACTACAATGCCCTTCCAGCCTTGCTTGTGTCAAATAATTTTGCTGAGATAAAAAGCTATGTGTTTAAGGGATATAGTAAGGATAATGTTCACAGTATGGTGTACTCTGGTGAGTTATCTTCCTTACTCTAGTTGTTTTTTCTTTGATTGCATTATGTATTCCTTTTTTATTTGATCTTACATTCTTTCATTGTTTTCTTTGTCTCTTTATCTTATTGCTGACTAGCAGATTCCATAGAGAGATTCCATATATCAGCATTTATCTTATTTGTTTTGGCTCAAAATATTCTGGAGGCAGAAGGAGCCTGGTTTATGAGCTTTATCAGCGTACGTTTGTTTAGATTTATCGTACCTAACATATATTGTATAAGTTTATCAAGAGGAAATAAATTTCATCGCTTTGTTCAGCTTGCTCGTATAAGAGTTATTTTGTATGGTGCAGAATATCCTCTTGGTTTATCTATTTGAAATGGCTATAGATGTGATCAAGCATTCTTTCATTGCCAAATTCAACAACATTTCGCCCATTGCATATTCTGAGTTTCTTGAAGTCCTATGTAAACAGGTATTATAATTTGATTTTGTGTGTCTGTTAGTTGTGCAATATGATTATTAGTTACAGCTTAACAGGGCATAAATAGCTGGGATAACTTTGGTATAGTGTTGTTTATTTTATTCTAGTTGCTATTCAAAGCCTAAATTTTCAGTTGATTCAAGCAAATTGTACTCGAATGTACCAACACTTTCTATACTCAATTGCAAATGATTTTCAAATCATTTGCTGCAGAAAGGGGCTGTATAGAATCCTGTGTTAGAAAGGGTCTGAATGCCACAAATTTTCTCAGACCAAGTACAAATATGCTCCATGTCTACCCAATAATGCCTATAATCTATAATTATTTGAACATGCTCCTAGGATAAGCCATCAAAGCCTTTTTCTCCTCATTAATTATTGGCGCGCGCTCATGCCTAACAATCTCTTAATGAATTTATCGTGAAAAATAGTTATTTATGATTTGTAACAGTTTCATTGGAGTGTGTATGGGGATATATTTTTATTAATGTGTGAAGAAAAAACAAATTTTGGATCTTTAATTTGCTTTGTCTTAACATTAACAGTGTGTTATAATTTGCCGTAACTACTGTCTATTTTCTTTAATGGACGTTTAAGAATATACGGTTGACTGCTGTTTTTCTTTTGTAGACTCTACACATGCAAACTGAGAATGCAAAGAAGAAGTTGACTTTTGTCCCTCTTGCTCCAGCATGTGTGGTAAGCACGAATTTTGTGTCCTTTTTCTCCCTGCTTTATGGCTGCTGATTGGATGTCTGTTTATTTTTTATCCCATTTTTCTTATTCTTAGGTCATTCGAGTTCTGGCTCCAGTTTATGCTGCTAACCTTCCTTACAATTCCCTTTCATGGAGGCTTTCTTTGATTCTGTTATTTTTAGCCATAACCTACATTATGCTAACAAGCCTCAAGGTTCTAGTTGGCATGGTTCTACAGAAGCATGCCAGATGGTATGTTAACCGCTGTCAAAGCAGGAAGCATCATCTTCATGCAGATTAACCTGTTGAGCACAACCAAACTAATGTAGATTAACTTCCAGCACCAAGGAAGCACTTACACGTCAAATATTGTATGTTGTACCACAGTTAGGTTGATGCAAGGAATATTTGAAGCATGTTCAGTAAATGATTGTGTATGTATATCACATATTTTGATTCATCATCTTTTATGATGTTTTTTGTACATATAAAATGTTCTGTAGGCTCTTTTCTATACCATTTGAATTTATCTGTGCCACTTTTTCCTGCTCAACTGCTGTAGCTTTGAATTGATACAAATTGTGCAAATGTTCTAAATTGAAGTATTTTGGGCTCAACCACGAGCCGGTTATCATGTTATCTGAAGAGGGAATTTGAACTCCAAATCGAACTGGAGTATTGAAATGTATGTGTTTGTCTCATCACATCACGCATGCAGGAGATGCCAACAGCTTTTTCTTTTTGTCCTATCCAACATATATGCTGGAGTCAGCGGTTCTTCATCACGATTCTAAAGAAGACAAATCATCCTGCGTAGTCCAGCACTCAATGACTGTCAATTGCCACGAATCAACTTCATCAGAAAAAAAAAAAGGAAAAACTAACTCACTAGTTTACTAAAGAATAACATTGGTATTTTTAAAATTTTCAAGATTTATTTTTTTTTCTCCTAAACTATTTTGTCTGTTTTTGAGACCTAGAAATAATAGCTAATAATGGTGTTTACAAAACCCTACGTAAACCATTTAAAAAAAACAACTAAAAGTGATTAAAATTAAAATCTTGAAAAATGAATGAGAAATTTTAGAAAACTAAAATGCAACTTCAAAATTTTTGGAAGAATCAAAAGTATATTTTACCCTTATTTATATATCGTTTGTTTTATTTTCTAACCTTTTGTGCAGCATCATAATAATTTTCTAACCTTTCCAATTACGTCCATTCTGGCTAACCGTGACTTGGCTAGGATGATATAATGTACTGGGATGGTGTTAGAAACAGAGCTGTAAAAATCAAAATTCTGGCTTGATTAGATTAGGAGGAAAAAAAATAAACTTGAATTAAATCGGATTATTCATTTTATCTCATTTGTTTCATCACGATTCATGAGTTTAGATTGAATTGATTCAAAATTTTAAAATTAATGTGACAACACAGTCTTTTAAAATAATAACTGTATCTTTTTAAAAATTAAAAATAATATTATTTTATTAATATATATATATATATATATATATATATATATTAATTGATATATAAAATAACTAAATTTAAAATTCTAAAGTATTAGTTGGATCAGGTATGGAAAAACGAAGAAAGAAGTGAAGAATAAATATACACAAAAGTTGAAAAAATGAGATATTAAAAAGTGACCTTTTCTTTTTCTTTTTTCATGTGCGAAGAAAGTGTAAAGGAAATCGATTATGATCCTCCCTTCGTCTCAATCTTTTAAAATATTCTTTTATTATCACAATAACAAATAATTAAATAAAATATATATAAAAATAATAAATAAATTTATTTAAAATTAATATAATATTTTAATTAATTAAATCAATCTTATATTCTGAAATCTTTTCATCTATTTATTTTTCACTTTATTTTTTTAATTTAAACAATTTCACTTTTTATTTTTTTTACTCCTTCGACTTCCTCTTTAATTAGTTTCATTAATATGATTTACATTTTAATAAATATATTTTTATTTTTTATAATTTAAAATCATTTTAAAATCATTTTTATATTTAAAAAAGGATTAAAACGATTCATTAGTCTCGTCTCAAATCAACCCAAAATAGTTAGGAATTTAGGATAATTGTTTCTTTAATTTTTTTTAATTTCTTTCACATTTGCAACACAGTGAAATGACAAAAATGACATTTTAAAATTCTTACATTTTCTTAAAAAATGTTAGTCAAAATGTACAAATGATTACACATTCTAGAAAAAATGTAATACCCTACAAAATTTACATTAATAATTAATTAATAAACATTTTTAATATGATAAAGAATAAATTAATCTATTAATTTGTTTATTACAAAGTTAAATGTCATCCACATGCATTTAATAGGTTAGAATAAGTTATTAACTTTTGTACATTGTTATTATATAACTAAAATAATTTGTATATTGATGCATAATTAATTATTCTATTATAATCACTATTAATCAAACATAAACATAATTTATTATTTGAAGTATCTTTCTAACAATATTTTGGATATGAAAATTGACTTGGCTCAAACCCATTATCATAAGGTTAAGAACATGGCTTTTTTAACTCATCTAAATTGGGGACTTTAATTTTTAAAAATCATTCTATCAATTTTATAAAAATAAATGAATAATAGTTGTTGTTAAAAAATGAATATATATTCTAATTTATATTTTTAAGTTAATTCTAAATCAATGATAATTCTTTATATCTTAAATAATTTGAAACCTCTAATAGGGTAAATGAAATTTTTCATATAAAAAGAAGATAAGTTTATCTCTTATTCAATCTCAATAAATTTTTAATACTCTTTCAAAAGTATGTTATGATGATAGAAGTAAATGATATAACTAAATGAAAAGATGCATGTGCTAATTACAATTAAAAATAATCTTATTGAGATTAATAATATTTTGATATACGTGAATTATTGATATTGTAGCAACAAATAATATGACATTTGATATTAGAAAGATCACTCGTATTAATAATATTTACAGGAATAAAGTAATGTTATTATTGTACATCATATACAGTGAGACATAAATACAATATATCTTTGACTTTCAATTTTTTAAGGTACATATTTCTCACTCTCAATTATTATACTGACACACAAAATATGAATTTAAATGACAATGTAAAATACATGAATATACTGACACACAAAATATGAATTTAAATGACAATGTAAAATACATGAATATATAATGATCTATTTTTCTCGAGATAAATGTCATTATTTATTTTTTATTATTATTATCTTATTACGCATGTTGTGATTGCATGATTCATAAATATAATTAATTTTATTTTATATGAAAAAATATTTATTAAGAACAAATATTCAATTTTTTATGATATATAATATTATCAATATTTATATTATTAACTTTGTAATCACATATTTATATGTTAAATATGTCAGACATCACAAATTATTCTTAATTTGTCATCATGGTATATTAATATTACAAATTTAAAAATATTTATAGTTTTATATACCATTTATTACCAAAATTAAAGGAAAGGAAAGGAAAGGATGTAGATGTTATTATTTTAAAGAAATCTAGAGGTATCAAAGTGAGCCAACCCGACTCACTTTTTGGCGAGCCATAAATTTTACAACCTGGCTTAACCCACCACGGGTTAGTGAGTTAGGTGGGTTGGCTCACTAACCCATGTTTTTTTAATTTTTTAAATTATATAAAAACTTCGAATGTAGAAATTTATGTTTTCTTCCTTTCTTTTTCAACATCGATATCTTCGTTATTAACCGAAATTGACTCATTGGGTTTTTCATTAATAATAAAATCATCACCAATACAATTTACATTTGATGTATTGTTTCGATTCCATACTCGTAAATTAATTTAAAAGAAAGAGGTTAAAAATTCATATATTAAAGAGATATACGTATAAATCAATAACAAATAATGTATATATGCTACAATTTTCAAATAAAGATTCATCAATTCAATAGTTTAGGTTATGAAACAAATTTTTACCTTTGAAAGCAATACAATGGACATGGTGTAGTGGTGCGGTGGATGAGATAATAAGACAAGTGACCAAAGTGCAGTGACAATGTAATAGTGCAGCGAACAACTTATAACAAGTTTAAGTGAGGGTTTGGCTTGTGGCGACAACTAACAATGTAGGGTAGAGGTAAGACAGGATAACATCAATTAGGGTTACTAAAGTATTATAATTATTTTTAAAATTTAAAATAAATGATTAATTAAGATTAGTATGCTATTATAATTATTTTTAAAATTTAAAATTAATGGTGGATTGCGGGTCAACCCACCATAACCCGGTTCGAACCCGTTTAACCCGTGGGTTAAATTAACCGGGTTCATTTTTAGCCCATAATCGATAGAAATAAAAATAATCAAACTCAACCCGGCTCGAACCCGTGGTGAGCCGGGTTGACTCACGAGTTAGAACCCATATTGACACTCCTAAAGAAATCATACTACTTTAAATCTTATAATTTTAAAGAGTTCATACTATTTTAAATCTTATAATTTTAATATTGATATAATTTCAATATTTCCTTATATTATCAAATATGATATAAATACTTGTTTAATATTTCTCTGAAATCAAATAAATATTGTAGAAAAATATTTCATGCAATACAAAATATTTGACTCTCTATAGAAAAACAATAGGAGTCTATTAAGTAAAAAAAATGATCCTTAAACATAGACGTGTGTCAATAACCATATCGAAAGGTAAATTTTTCATATAATTAACTTCTTACATAACGAGATATATAAATTACAAAAACTATTTAAGAAAATGATTTACAACTGTATGTCACTAACTACACTAGAAAGATAAATTCATATATCACAAAAACATCCTCTTAACTTTACATTTTCGTATAGATAGTCAAATTTTAATACTTTTATCATGTTAATTCAGTTACCTAGTGAAATTTAGAGTAAAATGGTTAAGCTTTGTGTTTCGATAAAAATTGTCAAGTTTTGACACTTTCATCATGACAATCTAATTACCTAGCAAAGTTTGAGTGAAATGGTCAAACTTTACGCTTCCATAAAGATGGTCAAGTTTTAACTCTTCCATTATATTGATCAATAATTATCTAAAGAGAAATGGTCAAGCAATTCAATGCTTTCATCCTACTCATTCATAATAATTAACATGGTAGACATAGCCTCCACAACAAGTCATCAATCTTCTTTAAAATTGATAGGGGTCATGCTTTAGACCCCAAAATTTTTGTAACTTTCATATGTATTTATGATTTTGACAAAAAAAAATAATGATCATTA